GGGTCAGATCGTAATATTTTGAGTCCCAGAATCTTCCCCTTCACTTTTGGACCATTACTTACGGACCACCCTGTATGTACACTCTCAAAAATTGTTTTTGCATAAAAGAATAAACATTTAATACAACGAATTATTTGTAAAATTACTCATCAAAATTAGTTTCCAAAAGGCATAAAAATCATTTAAAATTATAACAATAAAAAAAATTTAACAAAAAACATTTTAAATAATAAATGGACAGTGGCTTTCAACCACATTATATGCAAAACATTTTTGTGTGTGTGTGGATTCAGTTATAGGGCAAATCTACATTATAGGGTATGTTATATGGTCCCCCTTTTGTCCAATGAACTTTTTTCTGTGCGCCGCTGGTAGATTCTAAAATATAAAATGAATTTTCTGTTTTGTTTAGAAACAAAACTATAACATTATAACAATTGCTAAAAGAGACCCCATTTTCTCAAATTATACCCTATATATCCTATTACCAAATTTGAGCTAAATATCTCAAAAACTGCAGGAGTTCTAAAGAAAAAAAAATCTTGAAATTTCAACACCCTGTAGATCGGTAACGAAGCGTCTGCTAAACCCACGTTTATGCAGTGTACTTTTAGTCATGAAATACCAAAGAATTACACTTCCGTGTGTACAAGATATTTAGCAACACCTTGTACAGTATACTTTGTAGAAAATTGAATACATTTTTTACAATAAGAAATTGAACGAATTTGAATCTCGAAACGAGCTTTTATTCCACAGCTGCGAGAATCGTCGAACAAATGCATTCGTCCTCCCTAGTTTCTAAACATACGAGGCGACAAATATAGAATTCAGGAGCAAAAATAAATGATCGTGACCGGCGAGCATAGAGTTTGGAAAACTAACACTCCATAAAAGCGGGGCCGGTAATAAACAAGCGGAATAAAATAAAATATATTCCCTCTGGAAATAGAAACCGACGACGCCCCAACGGGACACGTCCTTTGTTTACAAATTCGAATTGACTAAAGTAAATGAAATCTCCAACCAATTACCCCTACAATAATACAGCTGGATACTTATAACTGATTCAACGATTGCATTACATTTTCTACCTAATAAATCCATACGATTTTCGAATCATCGTCGAATTAAAAAAAATAAACGAAATTCGAGGTGTGTGAAGTTGGCACCGCAACTGTAGTTCTCAGTAGTTCTGAGTAGAGTTCTGGATTCCTTTTGGAGAGTTTAGGAGTTCTTTTGTACAAAAAATAATAGTTCTGGTGTTTCAACACATTATTTTTTTAAATAAAACATGCGGTGCTAACTTCAAACCTAAATTTACAATGGAATAGTTCTGATTAGTTTATTTGATGTATTTTGATGAGTTCTAGAGTTCCTGAATATTAAAAAATAATAATAATAAATTTCATAAATAAACAAGTATAAATTATAGTTAATCAATTAGATATATTATCTGACAACCCATAACTTTTTAATTATTGAAAAATTCGCAAAATACCATTAAAGTTTCAGAACTGCTATCAGAAGTCCTGAGAACTCTCAAACATTTTTCAAACTAGGACTTGTTTTTTTTTGTATCGAAGTGATTTTTAAGAATATCTCAAAAACTATTGTTTTAATCGCAAATAACCATTAAACCTAGTTTGAAAAATTTTTGAGAGTTCTCAGGAGTTCTGATAACAGTTCTGAATAGTATTCGACGAGTTCTACAATAAACTTTAATGGTATTTTGCGAATTTTTCAATAATTAAAAAGGTATGGGTTGTCTGATAATATATCTAATTGATTAACTATTTATACTTGTTTATAGATGAAATTTATAGATGAAACTCTAGAACTCATCAAAATACATCAAATAAACTAATCAGAACTATTCCATTGTAAATTTAGGTTTGAAGTTAGCACCGCATGTTTTATTTAAAAAAATAATGTGTTGAAACACCAGAACTATTATTTTTTGTACAAAAGAACTCCTAAACTATCCAAAAGGAATCCAGAACTCTAATCAGAACTACTGAGAACTACAGTTACGGTGCCAACTTCACACACCTCGAAATTCGAATCGTGGAAAAGGTTGATATGTTATTTTTTTTTTCATTTTACGTTTTAGCCGAGCTTTGTTCGAGAGAAAGGCGATTGTTATAAATGTGATTCTTCTTCTCTCTAAGGTCAAACAACACGTCGAGGGCCACAACCTCCCGGTAAAAGAGTTATGAACAAACAATCTCGAGCTTTAATAGGACGCGACGGCTACCCGCTGGTTATATTACCCCTCGTATATGCTTTTTAAAGAAGCTTTTCTCTTCCCTTCCATATTGTAGAATCTGCTACCTATACAGTATAATCGACTACCATGTTACTTTTTCAAAAACAATAACTATTAGTTTGATGCTAATCATATAGGGTTATCTTTACATACCAGGGTGTCCAGGAAATATACAGTGTGTCTACTTAAGTTCGCACCATATGGAAAACTTTTTTATTACTAATTTTACGAAAAAAAGTTATTCTTCATAAAAAGTTCTGCATGTTTTAAAACCTAAAATACAACCATCAGATAACAATTTTTTTAATCCGTATACGAGGTTTGTCAAAAAAATGTGTTTTGTACTCAAGAGGAAAGTACCTTTATTTTTGAAAATATCGGAAATTATTATTAAGAAAAGTTGATCAGGACTAAAAATTACATTTTTAATGTTTTTATGTAGTCGATAATTATTGTAAAATAAATTTTGTTATCATTTATTTCAAGGCATAATCAAACTAATGCAACATAGAAGTTAAGAGATGTAAATGTAATCAAATTTTTAACGAATAAAGAGATAACAGATAACAATTTCCAATATTTTCAAAAATAGATTTACTTTACTTTTGAGCAAAATTCATATTTTCTGACAAACCTCGTATACGACTGAAAAAATTAGATATCTGATGATTGTATTTTAGGTTTTAAAACATGCAGAACTTTTTATGAAGAATAACTTTTTTTTGTAAAATTAATAATAAAAAAGTTTTCCATATGGTGCGAACTTAAGTAGACACACTGTATTTCAAGCGTATAAATGACATCAAAATAAGGGTAGGGTAGTGTCAATCAAAATAAGGGTACACCTTCGTATAAATCTTGTTCATTTGAGCCCCCATTTTTGAGCTATAAGGGCCTTTAGAGTTGAAAGTTTTTATGTTTTATTTCCCAAATTATACATGGGAACAATATAAAATTTGTATAGTTTATTACCTAGACCCAATTGCTGTCCAATTTATAAAATAAATCCTACACTACTTCCCTGGAAGACAGTGGCGGCGTATTCCCAATGATTAACAATTCGTAACTTTTATGAGGACAATCTGCATCAAGTCAAATATATCGTAAATACAATCTTTATTCGATGAACTAACAAAAATGTACTCTTGTTTAAAGTCAATAAAATTAACGGTTTTAGAGAAATTTAAATTTTTAGATTAAGATGGTAGTTACGATAGGGGGAAGAAGTTAGTAAGAAGATGATAGTTTGAGCGTTTTCACACGGTGTAATATATTGCACCTATTAAATAAACAATAAATCGCAGCAATATTGTATTCAGATTAAAATACAAACGTTCGAATGCGTAGTTTTCACGCTCTTAGGGTTCCCTCAAAAATGAGAAAACAAAAACGGAGGCTCAAATGAACCAAATTTATATGAACTTATAGCGCAGTGTAAAGAATTAAAATAATATTAAAATAATATATTATTCTTTTAACTGTGCTTATAGATACCCTTATTTAATGTTATCTATAAACGCTTACGAATTATTAACATTTATTTTCTGGACACCCCGTATAAATAGTTATGTATCATCAATTTATCAATGAAAAATATAGTCAGTTTGAGTCAATTTTATTACGAATTAGGTAGGTAATTGATGAATTGTTTTGCTTGAATTTTTATCTCTTGTGCTTGTGTGAAACCCATGTGGCCTTCAAAGTCGGACGGTTCGGATGTATTTTTTTATTTTTTCAACCAAATCGGCGGGTGAGATGACTCATTTGAATATAGATATACCGGAGGTATTGTTTACATCGGACGAGGTAGAAATTTCCAGCCAAACGAGGAGGCTGTTTTTAATTTCAGGGTCAATTACCTTGGTTCGTTTCGATGGTATCGCACCTATCTACATATTTTTATTGTTTAGATTTGATTTATATTGCGGAAGTCGTTCGATTGGGTTATTGGATAGCCCGGACAGAAGTGTTATGGAGAATGTCAAGTGTAGTATTTCGCTCGCCGTGCATTTACTATAGAATTACATTTACAATAAAATTATTAAAACGTTTATCAAGCAGGCAGAAGTTTTGTAATTTATTCAGTTAATTTTCATGTTTTATGCTGTCGAATTGACAGATCGAAGAATCCTTTGGAGTTATGACATTGACATTTTGACGTTTTTTAATACTGTCATTTTGGTCATTTGTATGACAATTTTCTCGTAATTACCTCGTTAATTAATATAAATTTAATTACCTATGTAAAAATTGAAAAATATTCTCAATTAAATTTGCTTTTAGATGAACTTCTTGACAAAATAATAGAAGTTGTCAATAAGTTTTGTACCAACTTCACACTTGTTTAAATGTTGTCACAGCAACAATAATTTAATTGACCCAAATTGTATGCAACAAATATAAATGAATAAACCATTTTAACTAAATGCAAACATAATTATAGTTGAATTTAAAAACCATACGTCAAAAATGCATGCGTATTTTACTTAACAGACGGTTTTTTTACTTATTTACAAAAACTAATCCTCGCACAGAAATTACGCTTTCGATAATTCAAATGACTCACACTTATATACTATTTTTGTTATAAACTGTTGTAAATTATGACATCACTTCATCGTTTCTAATACGATTTGCGATGAAAAAAAATATAGATTAATCGTATTGTCAAACGGGAAAGGTCAGACAAGGACCGAAAGTTTAGAAGCAAAAAAAATGTAAATAAACTTACCAAAACTTTGGTGAATCTTCGCTCGAGCTCCGCCGGATCGGGCATGGGTTGTTTAGCTTTAGCTTTGATAGTACTTTGCCTAATGCTGGCCTGTCTTCCGTGCAGTTTCGAAGAAACGACGGTATCGGCCTCCGGCACCGAAGTCTCTTCTTTGGACACCGATATGCCCATTGTGGCCGGAACGAACTTTCCAACAATACACAAATCTATTATCACTAATTTACTAAATAACGATCATTTCGATGCGCGAAATCGACGGGAATGCAACCATTCGCATTTCAAAGCGTTGCGGTTTTTCGCATGGGAGCAACAGGTTTTTACTGAATCGGAAATAAATGAGTAACATCACCCAACTCGCAACGGCCTCGCAAAACTGTTTGGATTTCTTTCTCGGCGGAACGCAGAACGCACGGAGGAGTCGCTTTGTCGCTGTTTATTTACGGAGCATGCGCTTTCGTTCGATATTCGAAAACTATCGTGGTGGCTGGTTGTTCAGTCACGGTCACGGACAAAGCGGAAAGAGGAATGAAAGATGTCACTACTCACTTGTCATTCTTGTCATTGTCGAAATGAAAAGATTCTCTCTCGCGCTAAATAATTAACTTCGCGTTTTTATTGTTCACGTTTACTTTCTGTGCGAATTACTGTTAAAAAATTAATATAAAGTGAAAAAGTACAGTTGATTTGTTTATTGACCACCTAAGGCAAGAAAACTGCTTTATGCGACGCTACCGACACCTGTTTAAACGAATTTACAACTTACACAAGATTTCTTTGCGAATATCAACTAAAATAAAAATACTGCTATTTTTAATAGTTTATTTTAAAGTATGTGAAGCGTATAGATACGCGAATTTTTGATTTTATTTCTCGTTTTTCTATTATTTTTTAGTCGATTCTTCTTAGTACGTTGCGCTTGAAATTTGATCTACTATATTGAGGCTATTCAGTTACACAGTTTCCATGTATAAACAATTTGCTAAATATTATTTTTTTATTTTATCGTTCTCGTGAACCAAAATGTATTTTTTCAAAAAAAAGAAAAAAACCACAAATTGTCTGTTAAATCTTATTATTAAATAAAAATCGCATAAATAATAAAAGTAAACGTTTTAAAATAATTAAAAATAAAATAAATATGACATTAATATACTTCAGATGGTGATTAGACAAGTCATTTTGAACAAAAAATGTCCAATAACATTATTTCGAAAAGTATATACTTTCTCTTTTATTTAACATTTCGTAGTTTACGTAATTTTTTTCCAAAAAACCCAAAAAAATTTTTTTTTTCGTATAGTCACATTAATTTTGATCACATACCGTAACTTATCGAAAAAGTTTTATAAGCCATTTTTGGTTCAAAATGACTTGTATAATCACCTCCTGAAATTTGGCGGTTTTTATAGCAGACACCCTGTATAAATAGAGATAAAAATGCATTTCATAAATCCAGACCCTTCGGTAGAGTACCGTCTTTTTTGGCTTTGTTAAAATTACTGTAGAAATCCGAAAAATCAACATAAGCCTCTATTTTTTGATCGGGATCCACAGGATCGTCCCCTTCATCACTATCTCGTGTACTAGAAGAATCGCTAGTTTTCACCGTCGTACTAGTACTACTAACCACATCGCTTTTCATAGTACTCGATCTACTGCTGATCGTATTTTCCGCAACGATCGGATTGAAAGTAACCGATGGAGTCGTTGGAGTAGTTATCGCATTCGGTAGAGGAAAATTGAAATTCCTCAACACCAACGTGATATCTTCCCGTTTGGGCGAACAAGAATTGTTCAGGGAATTCGACATGTACCAATCGTGATGTAGACGTACCGCTTTGTCTACCACGGCTTGCGCTACGCCCGTCAGAGTGGCCTGTTCGCGAAACTGAAACGAATTTAAATCAATTTATTCATTCCGGATAGGATATTAATGCATTTATACACTGTGCTTCATTCCAGATCGCAACATAGGTTATACAGGGTGTTTCATTGGGAAAGGGCAATATTTTAACCCTATATAGAGGTCACCCAGGGGATTACAGTTTTGAGGGGTTAGGGTTTAGGGGTTAAGTTTTGAATTTTCTCATGTAGAAATGTAAAAATTGATTAATCAATGATTAATTATAAAATGAATTGAAATCATTTTAATTTTATTAAGTGCGGATCTGTAATGGTAATTTTTATTGGTTTATGTGAATGTTAATTCAAGTTCAATAGGTTCATTTCAGGAATTTCCATGAAAGTGTTAAGTAAACCTGGTTTTATTAAAGAAAAAATAATTAAAATTCCTGCAATTACATTTTACATGGACCAAAAATCTCATAATGTACATCTTAACGTTTAAATTTTGGTAGAAAAACGGCATGCGGAAAAATAAAAAGTTGATGGATACATTCAGTTTTTTATGCTCTTTCTAAATTTGAAATTCAAGTTTTAAAAATATGATGTATAGGGTATTGTGTTAGGGTCAATTGTAATGTGGCAATAAATTGTCCTAAAAGTATTGAATATCTATGCCAAATATCAAAAAAATATACCGAGTGATTCAAAAGTTATAGGTGTCGAAAGAAATGGGCCAAATTCAAAAAACACCCTGTAACTCGGTTATAAAGGGCGCAAGACCCATAGTACTCGTATATGGTTTTTTTTTGTAATCCCCTGGGTGACCTCTATATAGGGTTAAAATATTGTCCTTTCCCAATGAAACACCCTGTATAAGCTATAGGTGCGATAAAGACAACTTCCATTAGACACTTATGAAGGATAAAGAAAGAGTGACATTTGTGTCATTGCAACTTTTCACTCTGACAACTGCTATTTTATTATTCCTTCTTTGTTCAACTCATAAAAACGACCATGTTGCGGTCTGAATTGAAGCAATCGATATGTCTGGTTTCACCAAAACGACAAATAAGACCTTATTCGATGAATAAATTTAATTGTCCAATAAAAATACACAATTTTGTTTCACCAACAACAAACAGCGTTATTCAACGATTAAATTTGCGTTTAAATTAACCAACGAAATTTGGACAGTTAAAGTTTTATTTGATGTTTTCTAACTTCAAATAATTTTTATTCTAATTTATTGGTTGTATTTTTAGTTTGTTTAAGAATAATATGGATAACAGGTAACAGATAATACAAATATATGTTTTTTAAGTTAATTCAAAATTATTTATCTATTAGATTTTTAGCATCATCTTTTGCTTTAGCATCATCTTCATCTCAAATTTTGCTTCTTTCCCTTTTTCGATCCATTTCAAAATCACTCTCAAACTTAAACTCCAAATACAGGATGTCCCAATGAAAAGTAGCCCCTTTAGTGAGCTAATAACTTTTAATCGCTCAATTATAAAAACATGCTGATTTTGCAGATAAATTTTATTTTGCTACAATTTTTTGTTTCAGTGGCACAAAAATTTTGTATCGCCTGTACAGGGTGTTTCATAAAAATATCCTCTTTTAAATTCACATTAACCAAATTTTATAAAATAGGACATCTTCTTTTGTAGAATAACAAGTACAAATAATACATTTTTGAAAAGTAGAAGAGAGTAGTATCTTTCAAAATATCTCTACATATACGGGGTGTTCAATTTTGATAAAACCCCCTGCATTGGTAATTCATAATTTCTGTATCACTGTAACAAAACTTCGAATAAAATAGAACATATTTAAGAAAACCGCATGTTTTTATAATTAGGCGTTTGAAAAAATTATAAGCTCATTAAAGGGGCTACTTTTCATTGGGACATCCTGTATAATAAAATAACAATATTCACAAGTCACAGTGACCAAAACCAAAAAATAACCTGAACAATTCAGTTCGAAATCTCCTTTTTTTGGAAAGATTTGAATTCTAAAGTTTGGTTTGCCAGAAATATTTGTTTAAACTGTTAAAGAGCCAACCAAAGATTAAAAGTGTTGGTGAACCGTCAAAATATTTATGTGGAGTTTAAAAGTTATTCATCGACTAACTATTTATAGATTTATTTGTCGTTGGTGAAATCGGACATTACTTGATCGACGACACATTGGGCGATGTACTTGTTGACTTGATCGGTACCAGTGGCCTCGGCTATGGATTTATACAGCCCCGCGGACATTAGTAGAAGAAATCTCGACGATTCGTCCAAAGTTATACCGCCGTGAATGTCCGGTTGGGCTGTAATCGGTTCCTGGAGAGCCGACGAAAGGTCCTCGTAGTCTTTGTATCCCCCTTTTACGCTGTAATTTCCCAGGCAGCGCGTATTTTCTTGGTTACCCAATCTCGAACCTTAAAAAAAAACGAGCTTAATACACTCATAAGTACTGAAGTCCCTAGGTAGTATAAGTAGCGCAATCAAATAGGCCTACAAGGTAGAAAAAGATAGCTATCAAAATCTAGTAAAGTATGAAGTAAAGATAAATCTTTCAAACGCGTGCATTTAACCTAAATTTTAATCTAACATTTCTTTTGTGTCGGTTTATTGATTAACAATTGTGACGTCCAATGTAACATGTTTATACAAAATGTTACCTGTATAAATAGAGGTATGTGAAGTTGGCACCGCAACTTTAGTTCTCAGTAGTTCTGATTAGAGTTCTGGATTCCTTTTGGATAGTTTAGGAGTTCTTTTGTACCAAAAATAATAATTCTGGTGCTAACTTCAAACCTAAATTTACAATGGAATAGTTCTGATTAGTTTATTTGATGTATTTTGATGAGTTCTAGAGTTCCCGAATATTAAAAAATAATATTAATAATAATAAATTTCATCAATAAACAAGTATAAATAGTTAATCAATTAGATATATTATCAAACAACCCAACAACTTTTTAATTATTGAAAAATTCGCAAAATATCATTAAAGTTTCTTGTAGAACTCGTCGAATACTATTCAGAACTGTTATCAGAACTCCTGAGAACTCTCAAAAATTTTTCAAACTAGGACTTTGTATTTTTTTTGGCTCGAAGTGATTTTTGACTACAAGTCCTAGTTTGAAAAATTTTTGAGAGTTCTCAGGAGTTCTGATAGCAGTTCTGAATAGTATTCGACGAGTTCTACAAGAAACTTTAATGGTATTTTGCGAATTTTTTAATAATTAAAAAGTTATGGTTTGTCTGATAATATATCTAATTGATTAACTATTTATACTTGTTTATTGATGAAATATATTATTATTACTATTTTTTAATATTCAAGAACTCTAGAACTCATCAAAATACATTAAATAAACTAATCAGAACTATTCCATTGTAAATTTAGGTTTGAAGTAAGCACCGCATTTTTTAATTAAAAAAATAATGTGTTAAAACACCAGAACTATTATTTTTTGTACAAAAGAACTCCTAAACTATCCAAAAGGAATCCAGAACTCTACTCAGAACTACTGAGAACTACAGTTGCCGTGCCAACTTCACACACATTATAAATAGAGATAAAAATAAGCCCAAACATGGCTTACGATTGGTACTTATACTATCTATGGGCTTTAATAAATATTATTTAACTGACTTTTCCTTAAATTCTCGGCGTTGATTCCCAAATGGGACAGTCTCAACAGCTCGTCTTCGTTTTTCAAATCGTGATCGACGCTGAGCTGGACTACTTTTAGCACAGAATTGGGATCCGTTTGGCAGAGCAAAACCCTGCAGTTTCCCACATTGGCCACGTACAGTTTCTTGTCGTAAATCAAAGCCACCGCAGCAGCCGTTCCCGAGGATAGCTCGTCGTTGAGCTTGTTGATGGATTGCACGATATGCGGGACCTTTTTGTAGGCCTCGTACTGGCTGAGCCCGTTCGGTATGTCGCATATTAAACTCGTCCTCTCGGCCAGTAAATCGGCTATGCTCTGCATGTAGCCCTCCTCGACGGTCGCGAAGGCTTGGCTCAGGAACTCCTTGACCTCCTCGTCGGATTTGTCCACGATGTTGCCGGATTTGTCCAGTAATTTGGAGAAGTATATCTCGGCGGTCATGCGTTGGCAGCAGAAATCCGCCGCCATTTTCCCTTCGTGCCCATCGAACACCGAGTACCAATAGAAGGATTCGTTGAATTTGAAATGGCAGCTGCAGTCTTCGTAGCCGTGCTCCTCCTGCGGATTGCCGTCCTCCCTGTAAATCTGGTTCGTGGAGAATCCTATTCCTGTGTTCTTGCACACTGGCAAACAGTCGGTCCAATTTTGCGATGTCGAATGCGGAGATTTTAACGTTCCCATTTTAATTCTACGATGTCATTAAGTAAGGCATAAAATCGACGACTGAAATTGATATAAGGCACATTAATCACTACGATATTGTTGGTTAAATTTTAGTTTTAAATTTGTATAAGAAATAAATAATACAATATAACCTATAAAATGAAATGTCAATCAAAATCAAAAGTTATTTCTAACTGTCAATTGTCAGTTCGAATTCAAATTAACTACTAGTAGGCTATTTGCCTCACGTATGTCATTTTTTTTGTCCGTAGATCGTAAAAAAAATTTAAAAAAGACATAAATTTTAATCAAAAGCAACCTTTATTTAACGAATGTTGTACAGAATATGTTAATAGCGTTTACATTCGACAATTTAAAAAGTATTAAATTTACGTGAACGGTGTTTTAGCCACAATCGAAACATTAGCATAATAATAAATAGTGTGAAGTGACTGCGAAGCAGCTTCGTCGGTTTTTGACGTTGTTGATAACAGTTGTTCGTCGCAACCTGCTTGATAATTGTGATCGTTTTGAAACACTCGATTTTTCTGTGAAAAAATTCCAGTTTCATAAATAATCTGTTAGCTTAGAAATGGCAGTTTCAGTCAGGGGTATGTCCCGTCGATTAGGACACCTAAGCGGCGTTTTATCGACAGTAAAAACCACCCCTAGGACTTATTTTACGTACACCAACGAGCCCTCTCAGCCCATCAAAGGCAAGGAGCCTAAATGGACGACGGCAGAAGAAGCTTTCCAGGATTTAAAATCCGGTACGTGATTTAGATTTTGGACTAATATTTTACTCGTCCTTGAGCAGATGGATTAATTGTACTTTGACCATAGAAAATAAATATCTATTCATATAATTTTTATCAGTATTTTTAGGCATAATGTATCGGCGTTTTATCGGTATAATTAATTGCGTGCATTTCTATCTAAAATCTAAAGTAATAAGATGAGCAATATTTTTAGTGCTACATTGGATTTGATCTATTATTAAACAACTGGCTACATTTGAAGAAATGCATAGTCAAGGTTTAATTTAATGTATTTTAATGTATTTTCAACCAGTTTATTCACTCTCTAAATGGTTTTACCAATAACTGACATTCTTTCATTAAACTAGTTTGTAGACGTCCCATCGAATAGTTAATTACCAATGTATTTCGAAAACAAAATTTGAGTTCCCAGACAATAAATGTACAGGCACAAAGCAGTATAAATAATGTTGTGGTGAAACATTTTCATCATTTATCATTAACGGTCGATACAAAAAAATAACCATCATAATCCCCAGGTCATGCGATGTTTGTCAACTGAATTCATCAATAATTACCAAATCACCATGTACAAGGAGTTTCACAAATTGTTCTACATTAATAATAATGCATAGAAAGGTGGCTTGTTTTCCCCTCATTTTCACAGAGTAAATTAAAAACTCACTTGAAAAAACGTACAAACTAAAGTGAAATTAAGAGCGTTTGCAATATATTACAGGAATATATTACATTGCAGTTAAAATACAAATATTGCAGCAAAAAATTGCTACAATATATTGCACAGTGTGAAAACTACGCATTTGGACGTTTTTATTTTAACTGCAATGCAATATTTTTTTAGCAAAAAAATTGCAATAAATTGCAGTTTGAAAACGCTCTAGGCTGGTTCATAGAAAAAGAATTTTCGTGACGAAAAGTCGCACTCTGTGTTGTTTGAAACTTGAAACATTGCATTGCAAATGCAAATGTATTTAAATCGATGCAGGTGGAAAAACTTTATCAATCGTCTTATTGAATTGAAATTTGAAATTGGAAAATAAAAACGGTTCGAAGAATAGGCGGCATAAATAAATCGTAATTGTACATTTTCGGTGCCAAATTAAACGGTAAACACTGTTATTAATTAATTAATTTATTACACAAAAACATTAAATTTTAACATACAATTACATGGTTAATTATACCTCTTTGAGGACTATAATAGAAACTGATTAATACAAGATTCCTACAATTATTTAGCATTAACTATGTTAGATTATTTTTGTAAATATTGTAGCTCAATTCCCATTCAATTCAAAACAAAAGATTGGGCAATTAATTTTCATTGTAATTAATATTTTTGTTTTCGGATACCATTTTAATCACTAATTTGTTTTTTTCTTTGGACGATAAAGAAACGTTCAAAGTACGAATTGATTTAGGAAACAAATTTTATTATAGCAAACATAAATTCGAATTGTATCGCACTTAATGTAGATTTTTCCAATTATTATTACTTTCTAAACTGAATGAATCTTTTCTTGTTTTAACAGATATTTTTACTGTATATTGTATTTCGAATTCATGCAATTACTATAATATGTTGTTATTAACATTTGTTATCAATCTTTAACGACCACTTGCTTTCTTAAATTATTTATTTATTTTTCTTTTTACAAGGAGTTCATCGATTCTTCCAATAAATAACGAGCTTTTAATAATCGTGTGCAATTTACAATATACAGGGTGTACCTAAAAAACATCGAAAAAATTTAAGGGACGATTCATGGTTGATGAAAATTGAGATGGAAATGACAAAAAAAAAATGTTTTTCTTCGTTATTTTCCCTGTATATTAAGCTAAAGACACGAAACTTGGGGAATATTATTTGTCAATAAAACTACACATTTTAAAATGGTTTTAACCCTGAAGTGTGTTTAGAAGGGGTTGAAATAGTCAACCCACGAGATATTTTTTCTTACAACTTTTTTTTAGATAAATATTTTTGTTTTTAAAAAAGTATAGCCAAAAAAGCCCAATTCATTTACTAATTTTTTTATCTTTACAGTATTTTTGAGAGAAAAGATAAATGAATGTATTGTGAGCTTATAAATAGCACTTTATTGAACAAACCAAAAAGAAATTAGTTTTTTCAAAAAAATTTTTCCGAAGAACCCACCTAAATTTTCATCCCTTAAATTTTTTCGGTATTAATTAAATACACCCTGTAAAAGACAGTAAAAGTAAAAGCGAATACATTTTGGAAAATATTCTAAAATAGAACTCCTCATTAAATTTATACCAAGGTTTTTTTACGTAGATAACTTCGATTTTATCGAAATATATTCATTGAACATTTTCAATTTATTATGTAAAATGTACTATGTAAATACAGGTTGTCCCAATAAAAAGTAGAACCCATTTAATCACATTGAAACTGTTAAACGCCTAATCACAAAAACATGCGGTCTTCGCTGATGTTTTATATAATTTAGCTGATTAAATGCGGCCATTCATTTCATTGGGACACCCTGTATATTAAAAACCGTATGATATAGCGCGTTGTTTTTGTTTTCCACGGCTGATTTGCTTACGAAACCGTCGTAAGGATACTCTACTTTTGAAAATACACCGCATCTATTTATAAACCAAAATGTTTTTATTAAATTGATTGCAAATATTCAAGACATTCAAAAAAACTATTATTAGCCGCAAGGTGAGCGCCAAAATCAATTAAATTATCGCTCAAATCCCTGCTAAATATTGCGGAATTTAATCCAATCAAACGACCTGTTACATATTCGCATACAGGGTGGAAACACTAAATGGAATAAATTTATTATTTCGGTTACTGTACATATTAAAAGAAAAATCCGAAAAACGTCAAATTTTCTCTCCCCAAAATTGTAATTGTTTTTAAGTTTATTTCAATAATTAACATAGAAAATAAAATCATCTGATGGCTTAAATTCGATATAAAATACACTACGTATGCAATACCTATGTAATTGTTCACAATGTATAAAATATGAATCTTTTCGCCAAAATGGTTATTTATGCATTTTTATCAATCTAACCATTTTTCTTAATTGCAATTAGCGAAATTCAAATAAAAATTATAACACTGACAACTACTCTCACGCAGTTATAAATACAAACCAATTTGCTAAGGCCTTTTAAACAAACTAGTCTTATTATTAAGACAGAACAGGAAATAACATCTTATTTTTTATGTTAATATTTTAAATAGATAACATTTTCGGATAGAGACTGAAGAGATTTTTCAAACGATATATCACAAGCCTATACTTCCTTTTTAAAAAAATAAGGATTGTAACTGTCATTCGAAGAGGGTTGAAGATAGGGCTCACATTTTGACTTTGAGAAATATCAAATTATAATTAAAATTTGACCTATGTATTTCGGGATTTTCTTTAAATATGTAGGTATGCAGTAACCGAAATATTGGATTTATTCCATTTGGCGATTCCACCCTGAATATATGCAATTAAAATCCAACGGGATTGTTTCAATGGCGTCTGCAAAAGGAAGCAAAATTTCGCATTGAAAATCCACTAAATCTGTTACATCGCTTATAATTTTCTATTTCAGTGATGTTATTTTTACAATTTTTATCCGCTTATTTGCTCAGATTCGAAGCGAATTGTGTTCTTAATATTTGATTTATATGAGCACGTGATGTGGACACGTCAGAAATAACACAGAAAAAAAAACTAGATAACAATCGTATTTGTTTGTAATTTGCCGCAGGAAGGACGAGAATTTTATTTATTTACCCGAATAAAAATTGTTCCCTAATTACATAATTATATATTTTTTAAACTTTATTTATTAGGTGGCCAATTTTCATACTATAGTGTATTCACGCTAAAATGATTATGACGTCACATGATTTACATTAACAGCGTTGCCAAGTTGTAAAATTTTTCGTTAAATTTCCCAAGTATTAAAATCATTTTTAGTAATTTCCACGCAGCTCGAAATGTTCCTAGTGCCAAAACGTTAATTCTGCCATTTAACTAGGGGAATTTTACGGCGCATGGTTGAAATGCCGACGCGTTTTGACTAGATTTTGTTGTTTTTGTGACTATCCCAGTGATTTTTGCCTTTTTCTAGAGTTTTCTAAATGATTCTAGACAGTTCTAAATGGTTCTGGAGTGATTTAAATGGTTCTAGAGCGTTTTAAATGATTCTGGAGCCTTCCAAATGGTTCTAGAGAGTTCTAAATGATTCTGGAGTAATATGAACAGTTCTGCAGGGTTCTGGATGGTTCTAGGTAGTTTCTGGAGCGATATAAATTTTTCTAGATAATTCTAATTTTTTCTAGAGTCTTCCAAGTAGTTCTAGACGGTTCTAAATGATTCTGGAGTGTTATAAACAGTTCTAAATGTTTTGAAACAGTTCTAAACGGCTCTGGAGCATTCCACACGATTCGAGACAGTTCCAAGTGATTCTGGAGTTAAAAATGATTATGGAGCGTTCTAAATGATTCCAGACAGTTCTGAATGATTCTGTAGCGTTCAAAATGATTATGGACAGTTCCAAATGATTCTGGAGCGTTCTAAATGATTCTCGACGGTTCTAAATGGTTCTGACCGTTCTAAATGGTTCTGGAGTGATCTAAATGGTTCTAGAGCGTTTTAAATGATTCTATACAGTTCTGAAGCATTCTAAACGATTCAAAACAGTTCCAAATGATTCTGAAAGGTTCTAAATAATTATGGAGCGTTCTAAATGATTCCAGGCAGTTCTGAAATTATGACCAGTGATTTTTCCTTTTGTCCTGTGTTTTCTTTTAATTTACGAGTAGTTTTTGTTTCTCCCGCGTTTTTCTACGAGTTTATCATTTTCGTGCATAATAATTAAATTAATACTCATAAGCTCATATCTTCTCCCGATTTTAATTCTACTATTTGTTACTTTTTTAATTTGTAAACATTGAAAGTAAACACATAAACTTAAATTAAATATATCGGTAATATAAATGATTTCAATTACAACCCGGCAACGTTGCAACGGGCTGCCTGGTGACGTCGTTGTCATTTTAAAACGTATGAACTTTAGCATTCAAAAATTTTTACTAATCTTCAGATGAGAGTTTCGATAGATTTAAATTGTATTTTTCAATTCATACTATTACTTCACACTCTCCGTATATTTATACAGGGTGGCACATTATTATGGAAAATCTCAATATATCTGTTATTGTAGAAGATTGTCGAAAAAAAAACTTCATTACAAAAATTGTAGATCTTCTTAAGCTGCATATTTTAAAATTAGTTACATTTATACAGAGTGCTTCTTTTTCCCGTGGTAGATCAAACTTATACTTTTTTAACTGAAAAAAAAAAATATTGTTTAATTTTATACTGAGTGGTTTAAAAGTTATAACCACTTTTCCACGAAAATCGTACCAACAAAAGTTTACCACTCTGTAGAGACTAAATGAATTGAATTGAAAATAAACTTCATGTTTCACAACACTGAAAATATCCTGAAAATGTACAAGTTGAATATTTTTTTTTAATTTTAATTATACTGCTTACAGGACGGATAAAAACGCAAAAGTAACATTTTCTCCGTTATTTTAAATGGTCCACCCTATATTTTATATCGTTAACAGGATTAACAGGAAATATTTTTGAAGTATACATACTTTCATTCTTATATTATTCCCTATATCTAAAGTTGATACTTTTCGAGATATTTCAATTAAAAAAAAATAGAACGGAAAATTAAGTAAAAGTAGTAAAGCTAATAAACTAGCTTATTTTAATGCCCTTTACAACTCCTATCAGTTTGGACCAACAATTTTGAAACAACCTGTATATTATCTACTTTTCGAGATATTTCAATTAAAAAAAAATTTGAACGAAAAATTGAAGAAAAAAAATTATGTAAAGCTAATAAACTAGCTTATTTTAATGTCCTTTACAACCCCTATAAATTTGAACCAACAATTTTGAAACGCTCTGTATATTACCTACTTTTCGAGGTATTTTAATTAAAAAAAAATTAGAACTGAAAATTGACGAAAAAAAAAATATGTAAAGCTAATAAACTAGCTTATTTTAATGTCCTTTACAACCCCTATAAATTTGAACCAACAATTTTGAAACGCTCTGTATATTACCTACTTTTCGAGGTATTTTAATTAAAAAAAAATATGTAAAGCTAATAAACTAGCTTATTAATGCCCTTTACAACCTCTATCAATTAAGATCAACAATTATGAAACACCCTGTATATTACTTGTTTTTTTTATTATAGGAGACACGGTGTTCTCACAGGGAGCCGCCGCGACGCCCGTCCATCTTTTGAACGCCATGACGCAAGTGGGTAAAAATAAACAATTAAAGGACATCACCGTTTGTCACATGCACACAGAGGGCCCCGCCGCTTACACGGATCCCTCCTGCGAGGGTATATTCAGGTAAATATAAATTGTTCCTTCTTTTCTAATACTCTAATTCCAAAATAGTAGGCACTAAATTCTCGGGAATATTATCGCTTCTAAAAAGAAAACATTGTTGGCAGTTTGTGATTCTAGATAATTAAGGACGTTCCACTAGTAGGGTCTAATGAGTACTGACTTTTATTGAAATTATTCGGGACTTAAGAAAACGTTGAAAAATATATTAATAATTTGATAATTTGAATATATTAATTTGTGATTCTTTGGTTTATTTTTGTTAAGTGCATATAAACGTGGATTCGCAAAACGCTTCGTTACCGATCTACAGGGTATTGAAATTTCAATTTTTTTTGTTTTTTTTGTAGCTTCTGCACTTTATGAGTTATTTAGCTCAAATTTTGAATCTAGATTGCTTTATAGGGCACACATTATTGGATATATCAGATGGTTGTTGAATTCTCCAGGGCGATATTTTTTCAGGGGTCATGTACCCCTTTTTCCCCCCGAACTTTTTTGCTGTGCGCCGCTGGTAGATTCCAAAATACAAAATTAATTGTCTGTTTTGTTTAGAAACTTTTTTTATTTTTAAACTTTTTTCGTTTCTGTTATCGTTAACGAGAAAAAAAATTAAAAATGTTTGTCTGTATACAAATTATTGATTTTACAAAACAAAAACACTAAATAATAACTATTTAATTACATTATATTAAATGTTGAAAGTAACCCCATCCTACTCAAATTATGCTCTATACCCTACATCCTATACCTATTTTGAGGTAAATATCACAAAAACTGCAGGAGCTCTAAAAAAGAAACAAAAAAAATCTTGAAATTTCAACTTTTAGTCATAAAATAAGCCAAGGAATCACCCCCTTTGGGATGTACACGATATTTAGGAACACCTTGTATATATTTTATTTGTTCCAAATATTTCTAAGGTATTTGTTATAAAAATCAGTAAATATTGGTAAGTATAGTTGATTTGACTTCATTTTAATTGCTTATAAAATCTGGCAACACTATCTTTCTCAGTTGTCAAGTTTTAATATTTTGACGTTATATCCTAATGACTTCGCGATTAAAGATTGGCAGATTTGTTAAACCAAACCCCGTAAACACGGTACAATGTTGCCAAGTCATCTGTTATTTATCAGATGATGAGAAAACTTGAAATCTATATGAAAAATTTATAATAAAATGAATACCGCTTGTTATTCTCAGTTTCTCAAAAGAATCGTAAGAAAAGTACGATTGTTATTTAAACTAAAAGATTCGTTTGAACGTCAGTCAGAATAGTGCTCTTATACAGTATGTACGAACTGATCCGCTGCAAGCATATAATGAGAATAATGAGATAGCTAATTTAACTTTTGCTATGTAAGGAATAAAGAGAGCATACGAAATAATCACGCCCGCTATCCCCGCTATTCGCTAGTGGACGAAGCGAAGCGAATTGACGAATTCTAATATCGGCCGGCAACCGATAAACAAGTTTCTGTTCTTTACTATCTTATAGTATTGATTGAGATTCTAATTCTAACGCTTGCAGCGGAAGAATTCGTACACTCTGTATGTAAAACATCCAAATTTTAAAAGCTAATATTTTCAAATTTAATGCCGCAAGGACTATGAAGAAAAATTCCTACGTATAAAGGACACTTATAAGTATGTATATACAAAGTTTCGATTGAATTGTAAGAAAACTGATTTTCCCGTACGCCACTGGGGGAGACCTATTATCGCAAAAACTTCACAATTATCCACATAATCCACAATTATTCAAATAAAAGCCTATAAAACGCATAAAAACCCTATAAAAAGCATATAAAACCTATTTAATTGAGACTAAGGCAGAAATATAAGTTTTATACCAAATTTTTAATATCTTCAAACCTATTCAGTTTAGGTATAGGGAGGTAAACAAGAACTTCTCTTATTTTTGACCACTGATTTCAATAAAATAGAAAAAAAATGGGTGGTTCCATTTAAAAAAATGAAGAAATTTTATATTTTTGAAGTTCAACTTTACGCATGTTTTGTACACACCCTGTATAAAATAAAAAGTTTTTCAATGCAGGTTCAAATACTTCTGACCTTTCTAGTAGCCCCACTACAGAAACAATTTTCATATCTTTAAGGTGATCCCCGTAAAAAAATTATTTATAAGGGTCTGCATTGGTCAAATTTTTCAAACAAAAATTAATAACTAAAAAAAATATGCGTTTTTAAAAAATGTTTTTTTAGACGAAAGTATTCTAAAATTTTACGAAGATTTCTAACTAATATATTAATATACAGGGTGTTCCATTTGAAATAACAAAGTTGATGCCTACTTCCGGTATATCCGGAAGTGGTACGACTGTCAAAATATTTTTAATAACTTCGTTTTATTGCATAACATACACCGTGCTTCATTCGCGATTGCAACATGGGCATTTCTGTGAGTTGAACAAAGAAAGATTATTAAAATAACAGTTGTCAGAGTGAAAAGTTGCAATGACATAATGTCACTCTTTCCTTTTCCTTTATAAGTGTTCAATTGAAGTTGTCTTTGTTGCACCTGTAGCCTATGTAGCAATGAAAAATGGAGCAATCTGTATGTATACCAAATAATATTAAAATAGGATAAGTAGTTTCCAATATACAGATAGTTTTAACTCGTCGTGGGACACCCTGTATAGTGCCTACTATTTTGGAATTAGAGTATAACCCGGGATAACGCGGCGCAATTGAATCACAATGATGTTGTTTGTGTCGTTTTTCTAGACACAGAAAACGTCGATTTTTCTATTTAAATTTATTCATCAAGTTCAAACAATCGATCATATTCAAAACAATTTATTTGCTCGATTTTCCAGATCGTGTTCGTTCTTTATGGGAGGAAACGTGCGAAAGGCCGTCGCTGACGGTCGGGGGGACGCCATACCGATATTTTTATCAGAAATTCCGCTTTTATTCACCAAAAAAATCGTCAAGCCAGACATTGCAGTTATTCAGGTAAACGCCACGACGAATTTTACATGCTATAAAATTTACATCTAAACTCTATTCGTATTTCAAATACGATAACTATACGGACGCAGGTCAACTGGGAAAACATTTTATTAGCTGATTATAATTATTGAGATCGACCTGTCTCATGATAGGTTAATTGGGCCATTTTTTAATGGGTGCAGATATTGACTTTATATTCCAGGGTTGTAGAGTATTTCAGGAGCTTCAAAATGATGTATCACAAGACCCCCCTTTCCATTTAAATTTATTTCCCAAGATGGCGCCCAGTCGCCATCTTAAAATTTTCATCTGTCAATTTTACTCCAAAATGTAGTAATTATGCATTAGTTTCATTATCCCAAATTTCAATTTTCTAAGTTGATCCGTTCAAAAATTAAAAGGGGGGACATTAAAGAAATGCACTGTATAATTGAAAATGAACAGCTATCTGTGCCTGTATGTAGATACGTCATTTTTTGAAATGACAAATATTAATGTCATTATTCAGTAGGTACAAAGGTCGACAGCAAAAAGACACCCCCTCGAGCGACGTTCCTTATTCAACGCGCCCTACCACTTGATTTGATGGACCGCGTCTTGAGAGCGCATTGTAAAGCTGGCAACATTGCTTGTTATGGTCATTCAAATTCGAAACTCGCGAGGAGCGGGTCGTCGGTTTATTTCTTGGTGTCCTATTAAAAACTATCGGTTATCCGTTTTTCTACCTACACCTTCGATGCGGTATAATAGATAATATCGTTTAACGTGCTTAAATACATATATACAAGATATCCAAAGAATCAAAATTTTCTCGAATTTCAACTTCAATTCAAATTTGAACACAGGTAAAATAAATATTTAAAATGATTCTAATTATTTAATCTATATACTCGTATGTATTCTTAGGAAGATAGGTAATCACTTTGCCCAGTTGACCCTACCCAAAAAGGGGACAGGAAAGAGTCTTTACCCAGTTGACCTGCAGTATTGTAAAATAATTGACCATTTTGCTCAGTAGACCTACGACGAACTATACAGGGTGTTAATTAATGCAATGTACTTATTTTAATGGATGATTCTTGAGCTAATTTTGAGTCGAAAAGTTCATACAGAGTTGGGTAAAAGTCCAGAATAAACTTATTATCTTTTGAACCAGTAATTTAAACAAAAAACGCTGAAACACGTGAATTGATTTTATATTTGACGGATTTGTTGCCAATACAATGATTTTTTTTCTTCAACTCCTTAGTTGAAATCCTATCCAACTTTTTTTTTCAAATGCAAAGGTATGTCGTGTGTAGAGTCATTGAAAATCCCATGAAAAAGGGAATCTGAAACATACCTTTTTTTCCTTAAAGTTTTTTTGTTTCTTTAAGACTAGCAAATGTTGAAAATGTCCTCCACCATCTACTTGACAGGCTCCCAGGCGATGGTAAAACGTAATATCGATAGCATATCTTTAATTCTGATTGACTTTTTAATAAAAACAGGCGAACCTTTGGTAAAAAAAAACTTGGTACAAAAATGCAAAACCTTTTTTTCTTTTTGAAGTTCACTGATTAACAATTGCTTAGAATTTAACCCATTTTATGTTTTAGTTTTTTCTTAAAACATAAATTTCAACAAATATTGATGCTAAGTTGGCTTATCAGTTTTAAACGGCAAATTAATAAAATTTGGTGGGCTGACTGCCCAGGCTCGCCTGTTTTTAATAAAAAATCATTCAGAATTAAAGATAGGCTACCGATATTAGGTTTTTACCATCGCCTTAGAGCCTGTTAAGTAGAAGGTGGAGGACATTCCCAATATCTGCTACCTTAATTCACCCTTCGATAGCACTAAAAAGGTATTTGTAACATATTTGTTTTTAAAAGAATTTTTTGCTCATTTCTCAATAATCACATGAGAAAAAGAAAAAAAAAAGGTATGTTTCAGATTCCATTTTTCCCGGGCTTTTCAATGACCCTACACAGGACATACCTTTTTATTAAAAAAAAAAATGGATAGGATTGCAGCTAAGAGGTTGAAAAAAAAAATCATTTTATTGGCAACAAATCCGTCCAATATAAAATCAATTCACGCGTTTCGATGTTTTTTGATTAAATTACTGGTTCAACAGATAATAATTTTGCATTAATTATATTGCATTAACACCCTGTATAGCGCGTGATCAGTGCATTAGAACCACCTTCGTCCAATGTGACCGATTAGGCACCGATCACGCGCTACATGTTTGTGTTACATCGAATATCAATCGGAAAAAACTTCCTAATATTTTCTAAATTTCAACTCCAGATTGGCCCAAATGAGCGAGTCTAGTTCACTAGTAGATATAGCGTACATACACGCGCCATTTGAGCCCGTGTAGACTGGAAATTTAGAAGATACAGCAAAGATATACAGCAATTTTTCCCGTTTCTTACCAGCTAATGCAATTTCGCAGTCCAAATACGGACGATGTAAAACAAAGATTTAACGCGTGATCGGTGCTTAATCGGTGTCACGTGTTTCCCAATTCTCGCAACTTCTTGCACCATTGGTCGCAAATTGGTTCTAATGCTCAAATCACACGGTGATTATCGCATTTGAAATAAATAAATATCTTCTTATGTAGGTATCTCCTCCCGATCAACACGGTTTCTGCAGCTTGGGGACCAGCGTGGACTGCGTCAGGGCCGGGATGTCCCATTCGAAAATCATCGTCGGTAAGCCTCTTACTCCCGCAATGTAAAAATTGCCCTATCCAGACTCTCGCGAGGCGCCTCCCAAAGGCATGCCTGGCAAAAGTCGTTCCACACTCTCGATTTATTCAGTTGCTAATGCCCATTTTCACCAAAGGATCATGTGATTAAAACTAATCATATGATGAGAATATATCGCAAGTCTTTCATACATCGTTTCCCCAATACAAATCATTATCCTGTGACAAGGCTAGGATAAGGTACCCAATTTTGATCAGCTTTTGCTTTATAACCGAGTTTTGTTTCTTTTGTGTTGCTTTTTTTAATTTGAATATGGATCATAACGTAGATGAAGTAGTTGATGAAGTAGATGTTTTTGATGTTGTTGAAAATTATTAGAATAAGTGCGCCAAATATGGACCGGTCATGTAATATGGACCACCACCATTTAAAAAAGAACGTTCTTTATATCTGGATGTGGTCCATATTATGTTCACTTTCTGAAAGTTCATAAAAATGATATACTTTAGAAAATGTTGTTTATTTCAGATTTTGTTTTTTTTGGCGATTTTTATTATGAATTTTTCTTAACTGAATGGATCTTGAAGGGTCTTGAACTAGTAATTTACAATGTTGCCAGTTCAAAATTTTTCACACTCACGATAAGGCGCGGAATCTTTGGAGAAACGGTACTGTGATCACAAGCCTATCCTACCTCATAGGTGAACTTAGATAAGATCAGGCTTGTGATGCTTTGGAGGAAATGGGCATAAGTCTTCTACAAATTGCACGCGTCATTACTATGCAGCGAGAGCAAGGGTGTGATTGATTGTCTTGCCTCGCCTCCTTTGCGTCCTTTTAACTCGCGGCACGAGGATTATGGACAAAATTCCTACGTATATACAGTGTGTGTCACGACGAGGGCCCATTAGAAGTATCTGGAAAAGTAGTTGTAATTAAAATTTGAAAATTTGTGTACAAGTATTAGTCGATGCGCTCTATTCAATGAAAATATTTTCAACTTTTCTTTACTTCCGGTTATACCGGAAGTGGACAGCAACTTTGTTATTTTAAATGGGACACCCCATATGTTAATATATTTTCGAAATGTAGGCAAAATTTTAGAGTGCTTTTGTCTAAAAAAAATTTTTCAAAAATGCATACTTTTTGAGTTACAATTTTTTTTTTTTTTTTTTGAAAAATTTGACCGATGCAGACCCTTATAAATTATTTTTTTACGGGGATCCCTTTAAATATATGGATACGGTTTCTGTAGGGTGGCCACTAGCAAGGTCAAAGGTATTTGAATCTGTGTTAAAAAACTTTTTATTTTATACAGGGTGTATACAAAACATCTGAAAAGTTGAACTTTGTAAATTGTTTGTAATTAATTGATTATTAATTTTGGTACTTGTGAGATATTACATGGCCAACTTGTAAAACAGAGTTATTTAAGAATAAGGCAGAAAAGTAAGTTTTATGTAAAATATTCAATATCTTCAAAACTATTAGGTTTAGGTATAGGGAAGTAAACATGAACTTCCCTAATTTTTTACCGCTGATTTCAATAAAATAGAAAAAAATGGGTGGTTCTATTTAAAAAAATTAAATAATTTGGTATTTTTGAAGTTCAACTTTTCAGATGTTTTGTATACACCCTGTATAAAATAGAAAGTTTTTTAACACAGATTCAAATACCTTTGACCTTGCTAGTGGCCACCCTACAGAAACCGTATCCATATCTTTAAAGGGATCCCCGTAAAAAAATAATTTATAAGGGTCTGCATCGGTCAAATTTTCCAAAAAAAAAAATTAGTAGGTAACTCAAAAAGTATGCATTTTTGAAAAAAGTTTTTTAGACAAAAGCACTCTAAAATTTTGCGTGCATTTCGAAAATATATTAATATATGGGGTGTCCCATTTAAAATAACAAAGTTGATGTCCACTTCCGGTATAACCGGTAGTAAAAAAAGTTGACAATATTTTCATTGAATAGAGCCCATCGACTATTACTTGTACACAAATTTTCAAATTTTAATTACAGCTACTTTTCCAGATACTTCTAATGGGCCCTCGTCGTGACACACATCATGTCTCTGGGCACAGTATAATGCAGTAGGGAAACTTCGAATAAAACCCTATACTTTCTTGTCGTCGCTGTGCCATTCGCGCAGGTCTTAGGCGCATCGAAGCCCCGCCTCCAGCCAAAATTTCGCCAGAGCGGGGACAATTTAACAGTATTTGCGTAAGAGGCCGTCAGGTCTATGCGGCAGAGCCCATTATTGCAAGTACCAATAAGCAAACTCGAGCTCGCGCAGCGAACGAGAATCGTATATGCAACTGCCTGATAAGCGAGTCCCTACTGTATTATACTGTGCTGTGGGTCTCGCGCTTCGTGTGTCGAATTGGGCGAGCCACCCAAAATGAAAATGTCGCCCGTTCTTTAAGCTCAAGTCAACCCGAACATGCCGCGAACGTTCGGCGACGGCATCATCCACATCAGCCACATCGACTACGCCGTGAAAGTCGACGAGCGGCTGCCCACGCACGGCGGCAAGCCGCCCACCGACGTCGAGCTGCAAATCGGCAAGAACATCGCCGAGAATCTGGTCGAGGACGGGGCCACCTTGCAAATGGGTACGTTCATTTCGAATTATACCCCAAAATTCACCAATTCCAAATCGATCGATTTTCAGGCATCGGAAGCATCCCGGACGCCGTGCTGGCCGCATTAACGAACCACAAAGATCTCGGTATACATTCGGAAATGTTCGCCGGAGGAGTGATCGATTTGGTCAATCGCGGTTGCGTCACCAACAACAAGAAATCCATCCATCGAGGCCGGATCGTCGGATCGTTTTTGATCGGTACGCAAGATCTCTACGATTTCGTCGACAACAATCCCTTCATCGAGATGCTGGTGGTCGATTACGTGAACAACACGGGTAAGAATCCGTCCTCTTCGAATCGATTATTCTCGACGGGAACGTTGTCGTAGGTGTAATAGCGAGACAGCCGAAAATGACGGCGATCAATTCCTGCATCGAAGTGGATTTGACCGGTCAAATATCCTCCGATTCGATCGGCACGAGAATGTACTCGGGCTTCGGGGGTCAGGTCGATTTCATCCGAGGCGCCGCCGAGGGCTTGGACGGGAAAGGGAAGCCCATCATCGCTCTGCCTTCGACCACCAACAAAGGGGAATCGAAGATATCGCCGGTGCTCAAACAAGGTAAGCTCTAATGCCCGTATTCAGAGACGTCCCTTAAGTGTGAGTGGGCCCTCAAGGGTGAGTGTGAGTGAGCTTATCCGTTTCAGAGACCTCACTCATTGAGTGTGAGTGAGCAAAACTGACCCTCAACTTAAGTGTGGTTGATAGGTCCCTTGAGGGATGATTTTACTTGAAAAATTAAAAATTTGACACTATTGACATTGATATTTCCCAATGCGTCTATGTTTAGTAGCATATTAATAGAATTTTCACGTAAATTTCATGAAAATAAAGTAGTTCTTACAGTTGACAATATTTGTTTGTTCTCGAAGTTATATTACAAAGTAAGGAGAAAGTACCTATATGAAATCATTCAAAAGTTGCAAAATTATTAATGTTGTTATTTTATTTTACTACTTTTTTGTTAGTATTGATGAGATTTAACAATTTTTTACATTCTATTACACTATTTTCGGTTACAAGTTGAATCAAAAATAATTTCTAAATCGGTTGTCTTTACTTCGAAGTTACAACAGAAATGGTTGTTTAGTTTCGGTACAAAAATAATAGGGTTGTTATAGCAATAAAACATCTGTGTGAGATTTGGAATTTCCTAATTCCTAATCCTAATTTTCCTAATCCTAAATTCCTAATTCCAGTTTCAAATATGAGCGCAATCTTTGGCGCATGAGTACAAACACGTTTTGTATAATAGACCTATTCAGTTTAACATGTGCTGCGCGCGCATACTGTGGATAATTAGCTTGACATCTAAACGAACAAACGAACGCACCTCAGGTAAAATACGGTTCTGACAACCAGACAACGACAACTTAAGACATACTTCAGACGTCATTTGTCATTATCCAATAATCCGTCGGATTTAATTTGTAATGGACGCGATGACTCGATACAAATTTGTTTTTACTGCCCAGAAAGGGGATTAGGCTTAATATTTACATACAGGTCAACTCTAAGAAAGAGTAAGAGGGTTAGTACAAAGTTTCTCAAAATGCTTTTTGATCGGTTTGCTATAATATATATTTCAAAGAAATAATCCCATTGACCTATATAAAAAATTATAACCTTTATAAATAAATATACTAAATAATACAAAGAAATACTGTTAAAAAATAATACACACTAAACATAAACAAACATCAAACGGAAACAAGAAACAAAATAGGGTTAAGATTGAAGATGGTCTCTTCTTTTTTATATTTAAAACAGTTTTCATCTAAGAATCATTCAATGTGTCTGTCAATCAGCAATGAAATAGGCCAAATATCTCATCTCTCTTGCACTTATGTTTGCGCAGATTTTAAATGGTTCCACAGATTGCGCGTCAAACATATTTGCTTCTTTTATTCTCTTATGTTGATCAAATAACTCCATCACTCTCTTTCGTAAACTGAATAGGTCTATTATCGTAATTTGTCGCATCAATTTCGTTATGTTACCAACTTAAATTGAGTACTCAGCTGAAAGTTATCAGTATGAGTGAGGTTTATGAAACTCAAGTTGAGTGTGAGTGCCAAGGGTCCCTTACCTGAGTGACCCTCAGCCCTTATATCTTGAGGGACGACTCTGAATACGGGCATAAGGCTCTCCGTTGGAGATTTGCGGGGAGCTTACGATGGGTTGGTTTTGCAGGCGCGGGAGTGGTGACGACCAGGGCGCATGCGCACTACGTCGTCACGGAGCACGGGATTGCGTATTTGTTTGGGAAATCGCTAAGACAGAGGGCGCACGCGCTGATTAACGTCGCTCATCCGGATCATAGGGAGGCCTTGGAGAAGGCGGCGTTCGAACGGCTTAAAGTTATGCCATCCGCCTAAGTGTAGGTGTAGGTAACGAATTTTATGTTTATAGTTGGTACAAAACGAATATCATTGCACGTCACTACTGTCGTGTCATACTTGTCAATGATACAATAAAGGAAGATATGATATTGCGCATGTGGGCGTGACGTCACAGGTGAGAATCTTCGGAAAAATAACAAACATAACCTTATTCTTTGACATATATGTCTAATTCTTATTGCTTTTTTTCTTATTATTTATATTATTGGGATTACTATTTAAAATATTCTCGGGTTTTTTTATATTTAATCTTAAAAAAGTTGCTAAATTTCATTGCATATTCTATTTTTGTTTGAATTTTACTCACCAATGACGTCATTGCGCAAAGCGAACCGAATTGTGAATGCTTTCAATCATATCTTGTATACTTGTATCATAATACTTGTCGAGCGTTGTAGCCAACTTTTAAAAATAAATACACAAAATATACTGCTCCATAAAAGTTATGGAAGTTCGTAAATATTGAGATTAATTTAAAAGTTGCTGGTTTTTTGATCGCCAAATTTGTGAACACCCTTAACTTTTGTGGAGCAGTTTAGATTAAGCTTAATACCTGCTGAATTTAATTTAATTATAATATTTTCTCATAGTAGATTGGTAGGCACTGACGATCGGTACTTTTAATTTACAATTTCTTCTTCTTTTTTCTCGTTTACTAGCCTCAACTACTAAAGGCTATTCAGCCTAATAATCAAGAAATAAGAATTTTTTGCGTAGTTATCTTTTCCACATGTTAGAAATGATACAATTTGAGCTCTATAAATAATTCAGATTCAGAAGTTTTGTCAGAAATTTCACTATGTACTCTTTTAAGGGTTATTTGTACACTACATTTTTTACTCGCACTATTAAATATATTTCAAATGATAAAGGAATTTGTTGATTAATTATAGTAAGCCCCTAAATACTTCCCCCGTTTAGAAACGTGAAACAGGTACCCCTAATTTTCAATGTGTACTTGTCATTTTGCCATTTAACAATTTTAGAAAATTCTTAGATTTTGTAAACTCTATAAAAGTTCGGCAACACTGCTTACTTGTGACGTAGTAAATCATAGATGACGTGCATTGATATTTGTTTTGCACCGACTATACCTAACGATTTTTTTATATGTTTCTTCCTTTTTAGGGAAATATTTGGAAGTTAAACGATGCGTTGTCGGTGAATATTTAAAAGACTGAAGCTGGAGCCTTCTCGTTACCTCACATTTATTGCAATAAAGTTTTAATTTTATGAAAGTTTAAATTTTGTTGACACGCGACGTTTAACTTTCTCATATTGATAATAATTTTTAAATTTATTAGATTATACGTTTGGGTTATTAAAGGGTGTTTAATCATTCAATTAAGTAAATCGAATTGTGCACTTTTTATCTTCAGCTGCTTTTAACATTTTTATTTTATTATATAAATTTATTTATATAAAATACATACAATCGAAGAAAGTCAATAGGTTATTTTATTTTATAGTAAAATAGTAATAGGAAATAAATATAAAATGTTCGGAATAAGAGTGTTTTCGCACGGTGCAATATATTGCAACAATGCCGCAATAATGCAACAATATATTGCAGCAATAAATTGTATTACAGTTAAAATACAAACGTTCAAATGCGTAGTATGCTATACGACTTATTATCGCTTGTATAAAACCTGAAATGCAATTTAAACAGCAATATATTGCAATAAATTGCAGTAATACAGTGTTAGAAATTTTTTCGCGCATAATAGGAAAATCAATGTTAAATTCTTAGCCGGCTGAAATCCAATCTACCAGTGTACATTTCAATAGAACGTCGCGATCAATTCTAATAAATTTAATTGTTCTACTGGACCGCACGCCGCGATTTGTAGAGGTACAAAGTTATTTGTGTTAGGTATGAGGTACAAAATTATTTAGAAACTACAATTAATAGGTTTTTTGGGGATATTTCAAAAAAATGTGTGTATCGGTAGGTACAGTTTTGAAATAGCAACAAATCTTGTTAAAATAAGAAAAAATAATGAAAAAATAATTCAATTTTCTTAAAATTACACCTCAGCTCAGTAATATGAGATGACATCTGTATGACAGGTTTGGCTATTGTTTAGCAGAAAGCGGTGGACTATTTTTTAGAGTTCTTTTATTTTCTATTTTAAAATAATCTTTAAGTTTATTTTTGGAGTATTCTTTTTATTATTTTCTTAGAATTTACTTTCTTTTTCAAGCCATTGTGGCAAAAAGACATATCTACATAATTCTATTTTATTATTAGTGATATTTTTTCAATAAATTATCGTTTAAAAATTCTCAATTCTTTGTAATCGACTCGACGTTCACCCATCCGAACCCGTTTTGATACTGTCGAAGTGTCGAAACCGTCGAAATTATTTGATTTTTAATCTAACCAAGCCAAAGCGCGGTGTGAAGTCCAGTAGAACAATTAAATTTATTAGAATTGATTGCGACGTTCTATTGAAATGTACACTGGTAGATTGGATTTCAGCCGGCTAAGAATTTAACATTGATTTCCCTATTATGCGCGAAAAATTTTCCAACACGGTATATTGCATCGTGTGAAAACGCTCTAAAGGTTGTCGCCCATATGAATAATAATCCGTTGAAAAAATAAAGCGACAGCCTTTATAATTCTACGCAGTGACACATTAAAACACTCGCCGATAGATTGGTACTCTTATTAGTACCATATTAGTTACCTTGTATTTTATTTTAAAGTGGAAACACGTGAGAATTGTAAACGAATCATTATGTTATTGTTGATAGTATAGTTGAAGGACTGCTTTTGTAAAATTTACATATATTGAAATAAAAATTGATATAGTTGAGGTTTTATATTTGATTTAATGAGCAAATTGTTTTACAAAGAAAAAAATACTATTACATAGAAATATAACGAAGTGCATTACAGTTTACAATACCTATTACATTATATACTAAACGATTTACCTGAAGTGTCCATAACGACAAAATAACGCAAGTCACAAAACAAATTATTACGATTTCAATTTATCATATGTAGTCAGTCGACTGCCACATTTCAATGGATTTGTTCGCTATCACATCGGACGTTTCCTCGGTAATCTAAAAATATGTTTATGTAATGTAAATGTATTCGAAGAAATAATGGAATTAATTACGTTTTTAACGTGCTGCAAAGCCCCGGATATATTCGAACATTTAGACAATCTAGGTTTCAACGTTGTCAGAAGAACTACAGCTACACACACGAGAATTTTATTGGAACCGCCGCACAATTTATCCCAAATCCTGTAACACATAATGCGAAATATAACAATATACAGGGTGTGACACGAGGAGCTTAAAGTATCTGTATGTTGGAAAATACTTATCCGATTTTAATAAAATTTGGTATACATATCTTATGCAATAAGACGAAGTAGGCATCAACTTTGTTATTTCAAATGGAACACCCTGTATATTAATATATTTTGGAAATCTACGTGAAATTTTAGGGTACTTTTGTATAAAACACTTTTTTCAAAAATTCATACTTTCTGAGTTTGAATTTTGAGTTAATTTTTTTATTAGATCGAGGCAGTCCCTTATAAATTATTTTTTTTACGGGGAACCCCTTAAAGATATGGAAACGATTTCTGTACTGGGGGCTACTAGAAAGGTCAGAGGTATTTGAATCTGTGTTGAAAAACTTTATTTTATAAAGGGTGTGTACAAAAATTGTACAAAGTTGAACTTCAAAAATATCAAATTTCTTCATTTTTTAAATGAAACCAACCATTTTTTCTATTTTACAACTGGTGGTACAACTGTCAAAATATTTTTAATAACTTCGTCTTATTACATAACATATGTATACCAAATATTATTGAAATCGGATAAGTAGTTTCCTATATACAGATGATTTTAACTCGTCGTGACCAGGGTTGGCAGATCCAGGTTTTTTGCACCAACTTCTTTAAGGTATTTTTTAAAAAATTCAAATTATGCGAGTAATTATTATGTTTGCGTTTTGACTCACCCTATATACAAATTGCAATTTTGTCAAAATGTAACTAATTTTTGTGAAAATAGACCATTTTCAAAAAGTGCTGACACAGAAAAATTCACATTATCTAATACAGATTCTGATATACAGGGCCTTGAAGTCATGACGATTTGAATATAAGAATGGCCATAACTATTTAAATACTCAGTATAGTAATATGAAATCTTATATTGAGAAACTCGTGAAAACGAACTGAAATCGAATATAAAATAAAAAATATATCATTGCCTTTAAAAAAAGGTATGTTTGGTATGGCTTCGATTTATGGGCCACCCTGTATATTTCGAAATAATTTTAAATTGTGCGCCTAAAGGTGCTCAACATTTTTCCTATTTATCATTTTTTCGTATCTATTATAATAACTGAGTAAATGGGCTTTACCGCACTATTGGGACACTCTGTATATGTATAAACTAAAAATCTTAAAAAAACCTTAAAAAATCTAAAAATCTAAAAACCTACTTAAGGTAGACTGGGGCAAATCGGTTGTAAAATTTGAATAGTTCAAATTAAATCCTAAAATGTGGCTTTATTTTTTCTCTTATTAGAAATGCTGATACCACATTAAATTCACAACTTCCTAAACTAAAGAATCGAGGTATTAAAAAGTTTTACGTATTTTTTAAAATCTTGACAATATGTTACATTTACCCCGTAACAAACGTTTCTAAGGAAACAATACAATTATATAGAAAAACATATGGGGCAATTGTAAATACATATTTGGTTCCTCTAAAATTTGACATGCTGTTTATTTATTTATTTCAAAAAATAACAGAGCTACAAAATAATTAAGAAACAAAAAAAACAAACCCTGTCTAATGCCCAAAAGAAGTATAAAAATAATAAAAAACATTAACATAATAGGTAAAAATATTACATTTACCCCATTTTTACATTTGCCCCAGTCTACCATATAATCTTTTCAGGATTCTTACTTTTTTTCCAACTCTGCTCATGACACACCCTGTATACAAAAAATATATACATTTATTTATACCTCTCCAACGCCGACTTGTTCAAAACACCAGCGAAGCAACAATCAAACCATTTCGTCAACGGCAAATTATCCAAAATCCCGTTCCTGCTCAAATGCCTCCAATAATCCTGATCTTCTTTCGCCAATAAAACGTTCGTCCTTTCGACCAGCTTGCTGACGTTCGGTTCGAACTTCCGCACGTTCTCGTAGAAATTCCTCGACAACCAAAAAATATCGGCGTCGTCGTCGAAGAGCTCGATGAACGATTGCACGATGTAAGTGTAACCTCTTTCGATCGATAAATTCGCATCGATGGTGTAATTGCCGGTCTGCAACAGCCACATGGCGAGGAAAATTTGCTGTTTGGGCGTGCTCGAATCGATGATTCTCGTCACGATCAGGGCTTTGTAGAGGTCTTGGTATTCTTGCCTTCTTTGGTCCATAATAAACTTGTGCGAATCGACTTGGATGGGGATAACGCCTGTACGGAAGAGAGGTGATAGGCGGTATTTATAAAAAGAAACAAAGCCTTTCGCTTCAAAAAGTATTTATAAAAGGAAGCACAAGTGTTTGCTTCAAAAAATAAAGGAATTGCTAAACCTTTCGCTTCAAAAAGTATTTGTAAAAGGAAGCACAAGTGTTTGCTTCAAAAAATAAAGGAATTGCTTCAAAGTGTACAGTGCATTTCTTTAATTTCCCCCACCCCCTTTTATTTTTTGAACGTATCAACTTTGAAAATTGAAATTTGGGATAATGAAACTAATGCATGATTACTATATTTTGGAGTAAAATTGACAGATGAAAATTTCAAGATGGTGACTGGGCGCCATCTTGGGAAATAAATTTAAATGGAAAGGGGGGTCTTGTGATACATCATTTTGAAGCTCCTGACAAATACTCTTGATATTTAGATATTTAAATATCTGCACGTGCTACAAAATGGCGGACATTTAATAATTACCTGAATACATTGACGTTTAACGTCATAATTTGAGGATATAAGCTGAGTTCAGTTCAAAAAAAGCTCGAAATGGTTGCCTTGAACTTATTGATATAAGAACAGCCTATCCTAACATTTTCGAACATAGTAACGTCGATATTTCTACAAATATCTGTAATTATTTCTCGTTTATCCAATATTGAAGCAGGTTCAGTTTCGTAGACTTTTTATATTCCAGGGTTGTACAGTATTTGTCATGAGCTTCAAAATGATGTGTCACAAGACCCCCCCTTTCCATTTAAATTTATTTTTCAATATGGCGCCCAGTCACCATCTTGAAATTTTCATCTGTCAATTTTACTCCAAAATATAGTAATCATACATTAGTTTCATTATCCCAAATTTCAATTTTCTAAGTTGATTTGTTCAAAAAATTAAAGGGGGCACATTAAAGAAATGCACTATATGAGGAAAAAGGAAGAGAAGGAGGAGAGGTTTTGCTTCGAGGATCCTGGCTGTTGCTTTAAAGCAAAAAGGTTTTATGGTTTTAAAACCTTTGTATAAGGTTCTACACCATTTCCGACTGTATTTCAGAAAGAGTCAGGTTCATTTAGGAATGCGTCAATTGAATTTCAGATTAGTCACTTATATTTCGGAAAATATTGATTGTATTTCAAAAAAGTCATTTCGATTTCAGAAAGCATCAATTGTATGTATTTCAGAATAATAAATTTGATTTCAGAAACCGTCAGTTGTATTTCGGAATAGTCAGTTCGATTTCGGAAACGATCAACTGAATTTCAAAACAGTCAAATTCATTTCAGAAATCATCATTTGTATTTCGGAATTCTGCAATATCTACAGCTTTTCAATATCAATTTCAGAAAAAAATTATACCTAAAGGTATCAGTTCCAGAAGAATAATTTCGATTTCAGAAAAAAAATATTTCAATTCCGTAGAGAAGTTGTTTCAAGTGCGAAAAAATAATATAAATTGTGGATTGGAATTGAGTTTTTCTTCTTCGTTAATAATGGTAATAATAATTGTCTTATGATTTCTGCATTCCAAATAGGACTCTGAAATCCTTTTGACGGTTTCCGAAACAATTGACTATTCTGAAATTCAATTGATGATTTCTGAAATCAAATTGATTATTCAAAAATTTAATTGATGATATCTGAAATTAAATTGACTATTCTGAAATACAATTGATACTTTCCGAAATATATGTAAGTGACTATTCTTAAATTCAATTGACGTGCTCTGAAATACAACTGGAAAAGGTGTAGAACCTTTTTCTCTTATTTTTTGCCTCTACCTTTTACTTCAAAGTAAATACTTCATTTTTATAAATATAAAACCATATTCCATCTCGTTAGGCAATGACGTCACGAGCCAGCTTGTTGCTACGTTGCCGGGTTGTAATTGAAATCCTTTATATGACAGATATATTCTATTTAAGGTTATGTTTACTTCCATTGTTTAAAAATTACACCGAGAAAAGTCAGTTAAAAGATTGTCATTTCAAAAAAATTATATAGCTCCTAAAAAAGTTATTTTAGCTATAAATATTTTTCTTGTAAGCTTGAAAAAAGAAATTTCAGGGCATAAAAGCTCATCTTTTTAAAACCATCCGTTTATTTTAATAGGGCTCCTATTTAGCTCTTATTAGTTACTTTATTATCGTTAAAAGATGGAATTAAAATAAAATAGATGTCACGATTAATGTCGGTAACCTTTCAACAGATGCACGAAAAACTAAACGCACGTAGAAAACAAGAAATCAACGCAAAAACGCCTGAAAAAATCGCTAAGAAAATTGTAACGAAATTCATAAAAATTGTAATTGAAGCGTGTCAGCTGTCAACTAAAAAGCACGAAATTTTGAGACTAATGCATGACAACATCGCCTTGGACTTTCAACTACGCGTCGTTAAATTCCCCTAGTCAAATTTGAGAAATAACATTGGCACTAGGGAAATGTTAAACTGCGTGGAAATTACTAAAAATGACGTCATTGCCTAACGAGATGGTATATGGTTTATGGAGTAATATTGTATTTTACACCCGTACTCTGCGCAACACCTTCTGCGCATCGACGTAATCGAGTGGTTTTGACAGATTTCAAGCGCGCTGTTGCCAAATGCTGAATGTTTACATTTCTTCGTTATTATCGAGTTTTAGATTATTATGATTTTGTGTTAAGTTGGTTTATTTATAACTTTGGTGTTTGTGTCGTATTAGTGTAAATAAAAATAGTTCCATTTATTTTATTTCGCGCCGTTTTGGTTATTATCTATAGTTTTTTTAATGGCACCCAAGTTGATATTTTTACAATGTATAATACAGAGTGTTGATACAGTCATGTTGATACTTTTTTTTAACTGCGTATAGATCTTTTAATTCTAAGCAACTTTTTTAAGTTAATATTCTGGAAAATAAGAGAGCTTGTTTTTCAATTTTAAATAATTAAAAAGTTAGTTAATACGGCCCTGTTCATTAAAAGTTAAAGGAACTGCTCAAAAGTGTCGCCATTTTGATTTAAAACGCTTTGGAAAAACTCCATAAATAATCAGCATATCCACCAATTCATTATTTATATAAAGATGAGCCATTTTCAATTCAAAAATCGAGAAATTAATTTTTTGTCATTAATTATTTATTATTTTTTGACACCAGTATGGTAATAACAGATACGTATTCAAAAATATTCGAAATTTAAAATTTTAAAAATTTCCATCTTTTTTATTTTCAAAAATATTAAAAAAATAGTTGAAAAAGTTGCTTAGAATTAAAAGCAGTTAAAAAAAGTATCAACTTATGAGACACCCTGTATAAGTTATTTGCCAAATTAAACCAAACTTAAATTTAATAAATCATTTACCTAAATTAAATAATGCATCATAATTAAAATATTGTAATTAGAAGAACTCGATTTAATTCAATCGGATAAATATATTTTTTTATGTATCCTTAAATCAAATAAAACAAAACAATCATTACTCGGCAACACCGCGGTCCATATGGTTCAAAATGGCTTAAAAAAAGCTTGGTGACGTAATGCGAATAAGGTGTTGCGCAGAGTACGGGTGTAAACTACAACAGTACCAAAAATAATATTAAGAAACATTAGCTATAAATTACCGAGCAGTATTTTCCATATTAGATTCCTGTAAGTTGCTGGTAAGGAGAATCGTAAACAGAAATGTTTCAACTTGCATCTATCCAGCGTTTTTTCCTTCAATAAAATTTCCAACGATTTCTTCTCTTCGACACTTCTAAAACCAACTTTTTCGTAATAGGCCGATCGAAAGTTCCTTTCGTCCGCCATTTCCCCGCTTAATTACTAACTAAACTAAAATCGTAGATGTGTTTTAATATGTTTAATGTTTTAATAAACGTGGACCATGCCGTAAATGAACGTCCAACACAGAATGTACGTGAAGAAATGTCCGAAAATTCCGTTCAACAGGAGCGATTTCCTCGAAATGAAGTACTTTTTCCAAGAATCGATGCCCGCTTTGAATATCAACATAAACCAAAAGGTTGTAACTGCCAGTACGAAAAACAATGCGCCGTACAGACCGGTTAAACCAAGAACACCTAAAAAAGATTGTAAGAATGGGAGTTTTTTTTTTATATTAAAAGTAATTATTATTACCTGCAGTGCAACCGGACACTGCTGCTACAGATGTTCTGCAGTATTCGACAATCGACAGATTGGTTCTAATGGCTGGTTCACTGTACGCAACAAATTCGTTTTTTATTTTATTAGCCATTCTTGTATGAAAATCACTAAAAAATCAATTATAATTGTTCATTTCTTCCATAACCTATATCTTTAAATGACGTATGACGTGTTAGCATCTTCTTTTTTGCTAGTTTTTAATCATGAAGTTGTGGCTGCTGGACAATGTGAAAAGAGGAATGACAGATTTCACTTGTCATCTTGTCAATGTCGAAATATTCTCGATCGAGCTAAAATTAATGCGTCGCATCGTACGTTTTTATTTTAATTGTTCACGTTGACTTTCTGTGCTAATTACTGTTGAAATAATAATATAATATTGTGTAATATTACAATTGAGTTGTTGTTTGACCAATCGACATCCAAAGTTATTATGTAAAAAAAAAGAAGTAGAATATTTGTTTGACATTAATGACGTTTACAAACAATAACCTATAAATTGCCATGTAGACAAACAAAAATTAGTTTATATTTAAATAAAATAAATCTATAAAAGATTAAAGTATTATTACTTAGTAAAATGACGGGAGAGACTCTGCTTTCGAAGTACATTACAATTTTCTTTGTAGTTACTGGTTATTGGTAAGTGATTACAACTTTTATCATGTAGCTCTTTTGATTTCAAATATTTTTTTAGGATCGTTTCAATAACTACAGTTTTCGTGAATAAAACTCTACTGAGCCACATTGATTTGGATGCTCCTATGTTCATAAATTTTACCCAAACTTTAATCACCGTACTCATTTGTTACGGGAAAAAGAGATTGAGTAACGTCTATCCGAATAGGTTTAAATTTCCCGATGTTGACGTATGGGACACGTATACACTAAGAGCTGTAAGTTCTTTTACTTTAACAGAATCCATTTAAATGTACTTTTGAAATATTTTCAATAGGTTTTACCTCTATCTCTTCTTTTTACTTCGATGATATCGACCAACAACTTGTGCTTAAAATACGCTTCGGTGGCGTATTATTACATAGGAAGATCTCTTACGACCATATTTAATGTAGTTTTTACATTTTTAATATTAGGAGAGACGACTTCGAAAAGATGCATCGCTTGTTGCATTGTAATTATCAGTGGATTTTGGTTAGGAGTGGATCAAGAAAATTTGGCCGGTAAATCACTCGAATAACATTTTTCAACGAGTAACTAAATGATTGCAATTTTTTAGGAAGTTTATCTATACCGGGTTTTATATTCGGAATTCTCGGCTCTTTATCTCTCTCGTTGTTCTCCATATACACGAAGAAAGTTTTACCGAAAGTAAATGGAGAAATATGGGCGTTGTCTTACGCTAATAACGTTTATGCAACGATCCTTTTGCTTCCCCTTATGGTGGTTAATGGGGAAATTGGCCAGTTGTATCATTATAGCAGGTTTACTGAGGTGTTCTTTTGGGGCATTATCCTGGCCGGCGGTATTTGTGGATTCACCATTGGATTTTTCACGTCTCTACAAATTAAAGTTAGTATTTTATTAGCTGGTAAGGAGGTTTATTAATGGACAGGAGTACGGCTTTTTTTTAGTTTTCTCCGGTTCCTATTAAGGTCACAATTAATTTTTAAAGTTTGAAATTCGTCACAAGTCATTAACCAATCACATTAGGAATTGGTGTGGTAAAGATTGTTTTTACTTTTCGTTATCTCGAAAAGTATTAACTTTAGGTATAGGGAATGGTTAATAAGAATGAAAGTAATGTAAAAATACTTCCTGGTAAAGATATAAAATATAGGGTGATCCATTTAAAATAACGGAGCAAATGATACTTTTGCGTTTGGATCAACCCTGTAAGCAGTATGTTTAAAATTGAAGAAAAATATTAATTTTGTACATTTTCAGGATATTTGCAATGTTGTCAAACCTGAAATTTATTTTTAAATCAATCCATTTAGTTTCTACAGATTGGTAAACTTAATACGATTTTCGTGGAAAAGTGGTTATAACTTTTATATCACTCAGTATACTTCATTATACAATATTATATTTTTGGTAGGCTGAAAACGAGCTAATTTCAATTTTTGAATAAAAAAACAGGATGTTCCATTTAAAAAAGTATAAGTTTGGTCTACCTCGGAAAGACGGGACACTGTATAAATATAATTATTTTTAAAAAGTGCAGCTTAAAAAGATCTACAACTTATGTAATGAAGTTTTTTTGATATCTTCTACAATAACAGATATATTTAGCTTTTCCATACTAATGAGCCACGCTGTACGAAGAAATTTTAAATTATTTACTAAAAAATGTAATGTGACAACATCGAATATATACTTTTGACTTTTTAAACTTGTCAACATAATAAAAACAAAAACTTAACCTCCAACTAAATCAACTTATACAATATTAAAATGTCGCATCCGAAGGAAGTTTTTGGCCAAAAAAAACTTAAAACAAAGAAACTACAATAACATAAACCTAGATATGTCATCTGTCGTTTGATTTTATATTTCACTTTTGTTCGTTTCTTCTATTCTTTGGAACATTTCGTTCGAATTCTTATGCCACTAATGATACAATGTAACTCGTTCGTTTTGTGATTGGTTAGTGACTTTACACATCATCTGTCAAAATTTTAAATTTAAAACGGCTATATTTCCTAAAATATTGAATATTTTCCACAACTGAAAACTGCTTTGAGTTCTAATGACTTATTTCTATTCATATATCTGGTTAAAAACCGTATATACAGGGTGTTCCTAAACATCGTGTACATCCAAAAAGAGGTGATTCCTTGGCTTATTTTATGTTCATATTTATCATATTTATTTTAAAGTTCATATAAACATGGGTCCGCAAACGCTTCGTTACCGATCTACAGGGTGTTCAAATTTCAATTTTTTTGTTTGTTTTTATTTGTAGCTCCTGCACTTTTTGAGATATTTAGCTCAAATATTGAATCTAGATTACCTCTGTCAAGCTAGCAGGACCAAATCAGCAGAATCAGCAGGGTATAAATACAACGGCCAGAATTTGTGCTAATTTGTGCCATCCAAAACAAGCAGCTAAATAGATTAATTCCCATTGAAATAAGGGCGAATTATATTTATCACGATTGGGCTCACGAGTAAAGTACCCGTTTTCACGAGCAGAGTTCAATTTGTACCGGTACATTCAAAGCATACTAATTTATGCTTCACAAATATACACTCATGGATTTTGTACCTCCCATCCCTTCTCTGAAAAACCACCCCCGATAGCCGTTTGCACCAGCAGAATCAGTCAGTATTGGAAACCTTGAAACCTACTCGACTTAAGACTGCGTGCAAGTGTGCAAAGGATCTTTGTATTGTGAAGCAAGGCAATATTTTTACATTCATCTCTCATTATACAAATATTTTATATTATCGCTCGTAGTTTGCACTTTTCTCGACGACTTTATCTCAACGACTTTTCTCTATTCGACGCACTCATACGCACTATTGGAGTCTTCTACTAAGTTCTACAAGTTTTCTAAGTTCTACTAAGTTCTATAAGTTTTCGAAGTTTTTCACTAATCGCACTTTTACAAATGACAAATTGAATTCTGCTTGTGCAAACGGCTATCGGGGGTGGTTTTTCAGAGAAGGGATGGGAGGTACAAAATCCATGAGTGTATATTTATGAAGCACAAATTAGTATGCTTTGAATGTACCGGTACAAATTGAACTCTGCTCGTGAAAACGGGTACTTTACTCTTGAGCCCAATCGTGATAAATATAATTCGCCCTTATTTCAAGGGGCATTAATCTATTTAGCAGCTTGTTTTGGATGGCACAAATTAGCACAAATTCTGGCCGTTGTATTTATACCCTTTTTTTATTTTTTTATTTAATTTTTGTATGTGGTCCTGCTAGCTTAATATTAAGCTAGCAGTGCCACAATTTTTGTCAAAACGGCAGGTAGCACAAAATTTTTATTAGTGGCACAAATTAGCACAAAATAAGCACTAAATAATGCAATAGGTCCGAATTGATTCTGCTGATTTGGTCCTGCAAGCTTGACAGAGGTATCTAGATTGCTTTATACGGCACACATTATTGGGTATATCAGATGGTTGTTGAATGTACCCCTTTTTCCACCCGAACTTTTTTTCTGTGCGCCGCTGGTAGATTCAAAAATACAAAATTAATTGCCTGTTTTGTTTAGAAACTTCTTTTATTTTTAAACTTTTCGTTTCTGTGACCGTTATCGAGAAAAAAATTAAAAATGATTATCTGTACAAATGATTTATTTTACAATACAAAAATCCTAAATAATAATTATTAAATTACATTATAATAAATGTTGAAAGTGACCCCCTCCTACTCAAATTATGCTCTATACCCTATATCATATACCAAATTTAAGCTAAATATCTCAAAAACTGCCGGAGCTCTAAAATAAAAACAAAAAAAAATTCTTGAAATTTCAACACCCTGTAAATCAGTAACGAAGCATTTGCGAACCCATGTTTATATGAACTTTTATTCATAAATAAGCCAAGAAATCACCCCCTTTCGGATGTATGTACACGATGTTTAGGAACACACCCTGTACATCTTACATCGTACTCCTCTCCTTATGTTATAAATGTTTTTTAGTATACCTCTGCTCTGACCCATAACATATCCGGTACAGCTAAAGCCTGTGCTCAGACTGTTTTGGCTACGTATTGGTATCAGGAAGCGAAGTCTCTGCTCTGGTGGAGTTCGAACTTGATAGTCTTGCTCGGAAGTGCATGTTACACGTGGATTAAGCAAATCGATATGGAGAAAAGGCATCGATCGGATATTGTTTACCAAAGAGTGTAAAGTTAGTATTAGGGTAATGTTGTAGTTTACACCCGTACTCTGCGCAACACCTTCTGCGCACTATGTGTTCGAGATTTTTTTTTAATCTATTTTGAACCATATCGACCGCGGTGTTGCCGAGTAATGATTGTTTTATGTGATTTAAGGATAAGCTAAAAAATTTGTTTATCCGATTGATTTAAATTGAGTTCTTCCAATTACAATATATTAATTATCATGCATTATTTAATTTAGGTAAATGATTTAATAAATTTAAGTTTGATTTAACTTGGCGAATAACAAATTATACAGGGTGTCTCATAAGTTGATATTTTTAATTCTATGCAACTTTTTCAACTATTTTTTTTAATATTCTGGTAAATAAAGAAGATGGAAATTTTTAAAATTTCTTTAAATTCCGAATATTTTTCAATACGTTCCTGCCATTACCATACTGGTGTCAAAAAATAATAAATAATTAATGACAAAAAATTAATTTTTCGATTGTTGAATTGAAAATGGCTCATCTTTATACAAATAATGAATTGGTGGATATGCTGATTATTTATAGAGAGTTTTTCCAAAGCGTTTCCAATCAAAATGGCGACAATTTTGAGCAGTTCCTTTAACTTTTAATAAACAGAGCCGTATTAACTAACTTTTTAATACTTAAAAATTAAAAAAACATGCTCTCTTATTTTCCAGAATATTAAAAAAAATTACTTGAAAAAGTTGCTTAGAATTAAAAGATCTATACGCAGTTAAAAAAGTATCAACTTATCAGACACCCTGTATAATTTGGTATAATTTGGTATAATAAGACACCTTGTATTATATATACATTGTAAAAATATCAACTTGAGTGCTATTAAAAAAAAACTATAGGTATTAACCAAAACGGCGCGAAATAAAATAAAAGGAGCTATTTTTATTTACACTAATACGACACAAACACCAAAATTTAAATTAAACCAACTTGACACAAAATCATAATAATCTAAAACTCAATAATAACGAAGAAATGTAAACATTCAGCATATTGGCAACAGCGCGCTTGAAATCTGTCAAAACCACTCGATTACGTCGATGCGCAGAAGGTGTTGCGCAGAGTACGGGTGTAAAATACAACATTTCCTTTAGTATGATTTAGATATTGGTATTTATGTAAATATGGGAATGGTGAAATGTATTTTCTTTTCAGAAACATTCCTGCATTAGGCACCGTGTGATATATTATTGTTTTATTAACTTGACGTACAATGTTTCTTTTATCAAATCAGTTTTTTTATTTTATGTATAATGATGTTTATTTATTAAAAAATGCTTACAATAAAACCATAAAATCGGTAGGAGAGAAAATATGTCGTCTCTGATTAATATTTGTTGCTACTAATCATCATAGTCGCACGTTAAATAATTTTCCAAGGATACGAAGCGGATAAACGACTTATCGAGAATCGTTAGTGGAGATGAGTACTTTGGAGTATTTTTTCTAATTTTATTTATAAAACTAAGTATTCCTATGAAGTTGATGAAATTATTTATTTTTTCCGTTTTCTATTAAGGTCACAATTAATTTTTAAAATTTTAAATACGTCACAAGTCATTAACCAATCACAATTAAGAATTGGTGGTAAAAATCGTTTTTAGCGACGTTGTCAATTATCTTCTTACTCTGAAAAAAATGGCGTTTGTTTGTATGTCTATGCTATAATTTATTTTTTGTATTTCTTGTTGCAGTTATGATTTATTCGAAAAATATAGAGCGAACTTATAATTGTTAAATAATATAATATGCCTATCTTAAATTCTAAATTATTGTTTAGTAAAAATGATAATGTGGCATCATCGATTGTTACTTTTGACTTTTAAACTTGTCAAATTAATAAAAACAAAAACTTAACCTCCAACTTAATCAACTTATACAATTTTAAAATGTCTCATCAGAAGGTAGTTAAAACCTGTTTCATGTCGTTTTGTGAAAATTCTTCATTGCATTCTAAAAAAAAATGTTTATTTTTAGCCCAATAAACTTAAAACAAAGAAAATACAATAACATAAACCTAGATATGTCATCTGTCATTCGATGTTATATTTAACTTTTGTTCGTTTCTTCTATTCTTCCGAACAGTTCGTTCGAATTCTTACCCCACTAATGACATAATGTAACCCGTTCGTTTTGTGATTGGTTAGTGACTTTACACGTCACCTGTCAAAATTTTAAATTTAAAACGGCTATATTTCCTATAATATTAAATATTTTCAGCAACTGAAAACTAATTTGAGTTCTAATAACTTATTTCTATTCATATATCTCGTTAAAAACGATTCTTCTATTCTTCCGAACATTTCGTTCAAATTCTTATGCCATCACTAATGATACAATCACGGCCCTATATTTCTAAGGTCTGGAAACTTCCTAGCTTGTGCATTAGCTTCACTTTTTCGCCGCTTCGTGGCGAACGATCGGAGGACCAACTTATTTCAGCCAATCAGCGTCGCGTTACATATAAATCGCGGTTGTGTGAAACGACAGTTCAAGCTGTCAAAATTTCAAAAATTATTTTTTGACATTTCGAGGAGAAAATGGAAAAATACATAAATCGAAGATACGTGAGGCATTATATTAACAACAAAATCATCGTTGATTTAAGTATGTTTTTATATTTTGTATCTATTTTTAGTTTGAAAAAAACCTTTCTTAATGCTAATTCTATATAATTCGTACGCAAAAAACCGTGGTCCTTTACAACATCGCCTCCTAGCGGCCGTTTTAGGAACCCTGTTTTATCCTCAAATAACGGGACACTTTTTCAACACATGTTGACCTTAGAAATATAGGATCGTGGATACAATTTAACTCGTTCGTTTTGTGATTGGTTAGTGAATTTACATGTCACCTGTCAAAATTTTAAATTTTAAAATGGCTGTATTTCCTAAAATATTGAATATTTTAAACAACTGAAAACTGATTTGAGTTCTAATGACTTATTTCTATTCATATATCTAGTTAAAAACCGTATATCTCACATCGTACTCCTCTCCATTATACTTTTGCATTTCAGAATATTTCTACGATCAAATTTATGTATTGTTTCCCGAACATTTTACAATCTCATTTATCTCTAACCCTTCAATGGGGCGTGATTAACAACATTTCATCGACTTTCAACCCCTTTCGGGGAGCCGCTGTGCATAATCAGACAATCGATTCGTTCTTATCAAACACGATACGGTTTATCTCTCACCCGGACAGTATTTATTCAGATACCAACATATCAAGATATGCGTCAATATTGAAAAAACAGTAGTTACTCTGTATGTTGTTCGACAAATTGAGAATAGTGTGAAAAACCTTCGAATACGAACGTTTCAAGTGGCGTTTACATAAATGATTAGAATCGATTTTATTTATTAAAGGTGCTATAACGGATTCGTGATTGATTAACCGAGGGGTTACTTACAATATTTTTACAGTTGTGTCCACATTATTTAACAGATAGTTTAATACAAGTACGTTGAATTTCAACACCTAATTAACCGAATAGTAAATTATTTAACGAATCGCCGTCATAAATTTCCAACTAGTATAAACGATCGGTCTCGTTTTCTAGGTGAAATATTCCGATATTGTGAAAGTAGAGGATCAGTACTAACACTAAACGCCGATTTATAAACAGACAACGATTCGAAAATATATATATATCGAATATAAAAATGTTTGTTGTGACGTTAGGCGTAAATGTTTGGATCGTTTGATCCAAGACAGGCTCCTCTGGTCGATGAGAACGCGTTCGAATCCGATCCGATTTTATTATCGGGCACGAGAGAGACGCGCCCGGCGATTCTCCCGAGAAAAGATCTTTCGATCGAGAGCACAGAGCTGTTTAAATTGAAACTATCGCGGGTTTTATTCGCTTTCAATGGAAAGATAGATCATGATCGTCGGTGTTTGTTGGCGCGTTTGTTTGTTGATCGTCGTTTGCCGGTGTCGGAGCGTCCTCGATGAAGGTGAGATTTTTGCTATTCATTATTTTTTCTATTAATAAAGTGTTGGGTTAAAGTAATACGACGGGTTGGAGCTATTCGTATATAGGGTGTTAATTGATTGGGTGCCGATACTTTAGGATGTGAATATTTGGGTGATTTTAAGAAGATTAGTTTATATCAATACAGGGCTTTTCACAGTAACCGTCTTTTAATTAAAGTATGCATTTTTTGAAATAATGTTTTAGACAAAAGTACTCTTAAATTTAGCGTAGAATTTTTCAAAAATACATAACTCAAAAAAAAGAAAATTCATACCTTATTTAATAAGACTTCGATTATTTTAAAAACTACTGGATTTGGGTATAGGGAATATCCATATGGATCGAAAGGGCTTAAAAAACTGCATTGGTCACTGTTAAAAAATACAAGGTGATCCATTTGAAATAACAAAGTTATGGCAACTTTAATGTGGCCAAGTTTGTCAGACAATTTTAAACACCCTGTATATGGATTCTTAAAATACAGTTTAGTTTCATATAGTAGTATGTCTGGACATCATCGATACTTAATTCTAAGCTTCTGCATTATTAACAGAGATATCACAGAAAATACATTCGACTGTTTTTCCAAAAAATATTGAAAAAATTGTAATATCTTAAAAATGGTGCATTTTTGGCATATGGTGTTATTATCAAAGTCTAGTTAAAAAAGGCCATAGAATTCAAAAATAAAGTTAAAAATGGCACTTTTCATAAAAAATAACGAAGTTGGTGTCTACTTCCGGTATAACCGGAAGTGTAATCAAAATGAAAATATTTTAGATCAATTCAAATTATACAAAAAATGCTATAACCAAAATTTCAGATTCTTAAGTCTTTTCATTATTGAGATACTTCTAATGAACGGTTACCGTGAAAAGCCCTGTATACAGGTTGTTTTTTATGCTAATGAACATGCTAATGAAAGGGGTGATTCTTGGGCCCATTTTAAGAAAAATACTTTATATGAATCTATGTCCTAAACGTCTCAACTTTTGAGATATAGGGTGTTAAAGTTTTAATAAAAAAATCAATTTTTACTGTTATATTTCCATACGAATTTAAATATTTTTATGAAATTTGGTGTACGACGCATTAAAGAGCATTTTTTGACTTAAAAACATTATTTTATTTCTAACAGTGGCGTCCGTACTGGAATCCGTACTGGCCAAATATTTTTGAGGATAAAAGTGGTACGCCACTGCTTTCTCTTGAAATTATTGAAAAAAATCAAATCAAATACTTGAAAAATTATTTTTGGTGGCCCCGTTCAATTTCTTGACTTTTTTTCGTACGACTCACCGTTTCGCATAAAAAAAATTAAATGCATATGTTTATATCAAGTTTTTTTTAAATGGGTCCAAGAATCATCCCCTTCAGTATTATCATGTTTTTAAAAAACCCCCTGTATGTCCTAAACCTATTACTTTTCGAGCTACAGGGTGTTACATTAGAAAATATAATTTTTGTATAATAATTTTCTTATTACTCCAGATATTTTTATGAAATTTCGGACGTGGACGTCACTGGTAATAGCAGAAAATTAATTTTTGTTCCAAAAAAAGTGTTTTCATGCATGGTGGGCGTTTACCAAATTTCAACAAAATATCAAAAGCTGTCTCAAAATGAAATTGGAAAAAAATTGTTTTGGTTTTTATTTTTTTACCCGAAAATGGCGCGTTATACTTAAAGTCTTTGGATCGAATTTGTTCCAAAATTTTTAAGGATTTTAAAAATAATTTTGGCTTTTTAGAAAAAGCAGTGGCGTACCATTTTTTTTCAAACATATTCAGTTCAAATCCCGTGCGCACGTCACTGATAAAAATTAAAAAAAAATCTTTTGCCTCAAAAAAATGCTCCTTAATAATTAAAAAGTGTATACAAAGTTTCATAAAAATATCTGGAATGATAAGAAAATTATGATTATTTTTTTTCTCTAAAACTGTAACACCCTGTAGATCAAAAACTAAGAGGTTTAGGAAATACATTGGTATTAATAACTTTTTTTCTAAAAATCACCCAAATATTCACATTATAAAATATAGACACTCAACTAATTAACATCCTGTATGTATTAAAAATTAGGCATGGAAATTTTTTATAGAGTGGATAAGAACGATTATATTGGAAGTTATCAAGGGACACACTGTATATCTTTTATATCCTTTCAAAGCTGAAAACAACGATTTACGCTTAGAATATCTTTTAAATTAATAAATTTTTACGACACTCATTTAAGTAGATTTATTGTGCGGGGTTTACTTAATTAAATTAAACAAATTAAGTAAGTAATTAACTTTTAATTGGGTTTCCATTCCAAGTAATTAGGTTGTAATTTTGTTTCTTTTAAACCTTCCAGTCTATTTCAGTTATCATGGGACGTACTGTATATCTTTAGTTTGCTAAAAAAGCTGATTTCAAAGACTTAAAATCAAAAAGTACCTAGAAATAGTTCAACTTTATACATTTTTACGACTCTCATTTAAGTAGATTTATTGAACAGATTTACCTAATTAAGTTGAACAAATTAAGTAAGTAATTCACATTTTAATTAGGCTGTAATTTTGTTTCGTTAACCTTGTAATTTTCATCGCAGTCTAATTGAAATTGCAGTCATAAAAAACAATGAATTTGTGAAATTTTTGATGTTGTGCAGTAATTAATATTGTTTATATGCAACTTTTATAGTTGCTTATCGTGCGATTCTGTTACGTTTTTTTCTTTAAGGGAATATCGTTTTATGAACTACTAATAAAATGTTACGATGTTTGGTAAATATAAAATATAAATATATTTTATAAACATGCAAATAACACAGTTAAAATTAGAAATAATTCATTCTCGGGGTGACGATACGCTTTGTTTAAAGACACTTTATGGCGCTTTATAAGTATAAACATTTAAGATAATCACAATAAAGATGACTTTTAAATATGTATATACAGATTGATTCATATTAGTTTGCAATATGGCTTATATAGGCTATGGGTGCGATAAAGACAACTTCCATTAGACACTTATAAAGGAAAAGGAAAGATTGATATTGTGTCATTGCAAGTTTCTCACTCTAACCACTGTTATTTTAATAATCTTTCTTTGTTTCAACTCATTGAAATGACCATATTGCAAATTGAAATGCACTATATAGGGTGTCCAAATGAAAAGTAGCCCCTTTAATGAGCTTTTAATTTGTAAACGCATTATCGTAAAAACATGCGGTTTTCTCAGATATGTTTTATTTTATTATAAGTTTTGTTATTGTGATACAGAAATTATGCATTACCAACACAGGGTGTTTTATCAAAATCTCCTGTTTTAAATACAAAGTAACCATTTTTTTAATGGAACACCCCATATATGTAGAGATATTTTGAAAGATATACTCTTCTACTTTTTAAAAATGTGTTATTTGTACATGTTATTATACAAAAGAAGATGTACTATATCATAAAATTCAGTTAATGTGAATTTAAAAGAGGGAGATTTTTGAAACACCCTGTACAGACAATACAAAATGTTTGTGTCACTGTAACAAAAAGTTATAACAAAATAAGATATATCTTCGAAAACCGCATGTTTTTATGATTAGGCGTTTAAAAATTATTAGCTCATAAAAGAGGCTACTTTTTATTGGGACACCCTGTACTGTGGGTGCGATAAAGATAACTTATATTAGATACTGTTAAAGAAAAAAGAGTGATATTGTGTCATTGCAAGTTTCACACTCTAACCACTGTTATTTTAATAATATTTCTTTGTTCAACTCATAGAAATGACCATATTGCAAATCTGAAATGCACCATAGGGTATAGGCTATAGGTGCGATAAAGACAACTTCCATTAGACACTTATAAAGAAAAAAGAAAGCCTGATATTGTGTCATTGCAACTTTCTCACTCTAACCACCGTTATTTTAATATTATGTTTGTTTAACTCATAGAAACGACCATATTGCAAACTGAAATGCACCAAAGTGTATAAATTTACAATGCTGCTGGTCGTGCTAAAATAAACGATAAAGAGTTCAATTAAACAAGTCGATAAAAATTAGCCAAGTAATATTAGATTAGATGGAATTCAACAAACATATTTATCGATTGTGTTGTTATTTTTAGATATGTACAGTAGCAATTTGTTTGCCTATTAAACATATCACACCGTTGATAAGGGCTTATCGCAAACGAAATTCCTTCGATTTATTCAAATGATTTTATTTTTTCATTTACAGATTATTCCAACGACTATCCCTCTTTCGATCTTCAACCGCAAATTAAAACGATAAAAGTGAAGAGCGGCACGAGATATACTTTGAGATGCCACCATGACGATGTTCAATGGTTGTTTAAGGTAAAGTTTTTCCATAAAATAGCCACAATTGATAGATATCACCTTGCACTGGAAATACAAATATTTGTATATACAGGGTGTCTCTAAAAGATTTGGGCATATATGGCTTAACATACAGACACAGACTTCTGATGATAGACTCTGATATGTAGAGCTTGGAACATATGCAATTACATATGGGTTTATGCTCTATGAAAAAAATCAAAAATAACCAGATTAGGTATAAAATATTTTTTGAAATTTTTATTGAAACAAAAAGATAAGAGAAGATGAACATTAATTTTCTATGAACTGTGAACAGAACTTAATCATTTAGAACCCTCTAGAATCATTTAGAACTGTCATGATGAGTCATTTAGATCGCTCCAGAAGTATTTAAAACTGTCTAGAACTATTTAGATCGCTCCAGAATCGTTTAAAACTGTCTAGAATCATTTGGAACTGTCTAGAATCATTTACAGAACTGTCTAAAATCGTTTAGAAGGCTCCAGAATCATTTTGAATTATCTAGAACAATATATCTAATCATTTAGAACCGTCTAGAACTACTTGGAAGGCTCCAGAAACATTTAGAATTATCTAGAACAATATATATCGCTCCAGAACCGTTTAGAACTGTTTAGAATAATTTAAAACTACCTAGAACCATCTAGAACCCTGCAGAACTGTTCATAATACTCCAGAATCATTTAGAACTGTCTATAACCATTTGGAAGGCTCCAGAAACTTTTAGAATAATCTAGAACAATTTAGATCGCTCCAGAACCGTTTAGAACTGTTTCGAATCATTTAGAACTGTTTATGGAAACATTTAGAAATGTTTATAATACTCCAGAATCATTTAGAACCGTCTAGAACTACTTGGAAGGCTCCAGAAACATTTAGAATTATCTAGAACAATTTAGATCGCTCCAGAACCGTTTAGAACTGTTTCGAATCATTTAGAACTGTTTGGAAACATTTAGAAATGTTTATAATACTCCAGAATCATTTAGAACTGTCTAGAACCATTTGGAAGGCTCCAGAAACTTTTAGAATAATCTAGAACAATTTAGATCGCTCCAGAACCGTTTAGAACTGTTTCGAATCATTTAGAACTGTTTATGGAAACATTTAGAAATGTTTATAATACTCCAGAATCATTTAGAACCGTCTAGAACTACTTGGAAGGCTCCAGAAACATTTAAAATTATCTAGAACAATATATATATATCGCTCCAGAACCGTTTAGAACTGTTTAGAATAATTTAAAACTACCTAGAACCATCTAGAACCCTGCAGAACTGTTCATAATACTGGCAACTGATTGAAACTGTTTTATAATAGTCGCATCCGTGTGGGTACAGAAGTTTAATATTAGTTGTAAACTGGTTACAGACTAAACTAGATTAAAAATCTTTATTTCAAAACAGTTGCTCCGTGAGCGGTGGGCCTAATTTTACAAATAAACTGCTCCACAAAAGTTAAGGAAGTTAGCAAATTTTGCGATTATTTTAAAAGTTACAGACTTTTTGATCACCGAATTTTCAAATATGCGAAATTAAATGTTTTCTCTCATATCTAAGAGGAATTTTTGTTCCTACCTCTACAACTGATACTAAATTTGGCGATCAAAAAACCTGAAACTTTTAAATTAATCGCAATATTTGTGAACTTTCTTAACTTTTGTGGAGCAGTATATTTCGTTATATTAAATATTTATTCATTTATGCAAAACATTGTTGAGTATGTATTTAGTATGTAGAAACGTTATTTCTATTTTGCTCTACTGCAAGTACAATAATTTAGCGAATTCGAGTAAATATTTTGAGCGATTCTTTTGATGTGCGACGCGCCCCGTCGGCTTAAGCGCGAATATTTTTTGACATCTGCTTTCGATACCGATCGGTTGTTTAAATATTAAAACAAGCGATTAGCGTTCGAATTAATTCTGTTTTTGTTTACCAAATAAACGTCTTCGGAACAAGCAAACAAACCGCAAACGTATCGCCACTTTTCAGCTCCTGCATGGTGTGTTTGTATTTGAAATATTATTCGCGTTGCGTCGGAAGCCGGCCGGTTTATTTTAGGTTTTTTTTTTATGTAAACAGCTGTAAATTAGCAAAAAAAACCGATTACAAAATACACACACATGTTTTAGTGCGGATGGGGGAATGGACAGTTAGAATTTGTGTTCCGAGCGCGAAAACAAATTTTGCAGTTCTCACTATTCAGGATATGTTTCTAAATATACAGTGCATTTCTCTGCCCGCTCCCCCGGTCCCTCGGCGCCGATAAATTAATCAACGTTGCCAGACATTACAACTCGCTCTAACAAATACTCTACAACCCTGGAATATAAAGTCAATATCTGCACCCATTACAAAATGGCGGACATTTAATAATTACCTGAATAAATCGACGTTTAACGTCATAATTTGAGGATATAAGCTGAGTTCAGTTCAGAAAATGCTCGAAATGGTTTCCTTTAACTTCTTGATATAAGAACAGACTATCCCAACATTTTCGAACATAGTAACGTCGATATTTCTAAAAATATCTGTAATTATTTCTCGTATATCCAATATTGAAGCAGGTTCAGTTTCGTACACTTTTTGCTTTAAATAGCCCCATAAAAAAAGTCCAAAGGTGTCAAATCTGGCGAGCGGGCTGGCCATTCCGTAGGACCTCCACGACCAATCCAACAACCAGGAAAAATTGCATCCAAATAGTTCAATACTTGTCTGGAGTAATGTGGTGATGCTCCATCTTGTTGGAGTACAATATCCATATCCATATCGGTACCTAACTACAATGAGAACTAAACAACCGAAAACTAAATGAAAATATTTTGAACACTAGGAAAATCGAAAACTAAAGAGAATATTTTGAACACTAGGAAAACCAAAAACTAAATGAGAATATTTTGACTAAACAATTAATGTTCGTTGACGTACTAAAATTTTTTGGAATTTTTTTAACCAAAAATAACCTGTCAAACCTTATCGGTTTGTTGGGATTGCTATTTGGCATAGAAAAACAAATAATTCTAGAAAAATTGATATTAATTTGTTTGTATTCAGGTATTTATTAAATGTTCCGCCATTTTGTAATGGGTGCAGATATTGACTTTATATTCCAGGGTTGTACAGTAGCTTCAAAATGGTTCAGGAGCTTCAAAATGATGTTTCACAAGACCTCCTTTCCATTTAAATTTATTTCCCATGATGGCGCCCAGTCGCCATCTTGAAATATTCATCAGTCAATTTTACTCCAAAATATAGTAATCATGCATTAGTTTTGTTATCCTAAATTTCAATTTTCTAAGTTGATCCGCTCAAAAAATAAAAGGGGTGGGGACATTAAAGAAATGCACTGTATACAGTTAGTGCAAAACGAATATCAATGCACGTCACCTATAATTTATAACGTCACAAGTAGGCAGTGTTGCCGAACTTTTATAGAGTTTATAAAATCTAAGAATTTTCTAAAATTGTCAAATTGCAAAATGACAAGAACAAATTGAAAATTAGGGGTACCTGTTTCACGTTACTAAACGGCGATCGTATTCAGGAGCTCACTATAATTAATCATCAAATTCCTTTATCATCTGATATATATTTAACAGTGCTAGTAAAAAAATAGTGTAAAATAAACCCTCAAAAGAGTACATAGTGAAATTCCTGAGAAAACTTCTGGATCTGAATTATTTAGAGCTCAAATTGTGTCATTTCTAACATGTGGAAAAGATAACTATGCAAAAAATTCTTATTTGGTTATTGGGCTGAATAGCCTTTAGTAGTTGAGGCTAGTAAACTAGCAAAAAGGATTAATAAAATGCTTCTGGGGCGTTCTAGATTAATCAAGACAGTTCTAAATACTTCTGGAGCGGTCCAATATTGGTTCTACGCAGTTTTAAATGCTTCTGAGGCGTTCTAAATGATTTTAAACAGTTCTAATGATTCTGGAGCGTTCTAGATGGATCTAGACAGTTCTACAATATTCTAAACAGTTCTAAATGATTCTGAAGTGTTCTAAATGTTCTTTAACAGTTCTAAATGGTTCTATACTATTTAAACGTTTCTGGAGCGTTCTAGATTGATTTAGACCGCTCTAAATGATTCTAGACAGTTCTAAAGTAAATCCACCCTGTCAGCCATTACAAACTTTGGAAACGCAGCCAAAATGGACAAAAATTTTCGAATTTGAGATGTTTATTTTTATTACTAACTCGGAAACCAAAGACAAAACGTAAAATTTTTATTCTTTCGTCTACACTTATTTTCGTCTCCTCATTCATAATGCGAAAGAACGGGCGTCAATTTTGAGACACCTCGTAGATATAGCGAGAGATTGAAAATTTACAGTATATTAATTATTTCAGCCGTGCGATTCGAATTTCAGCGGCACGATAATTTGCGACGACAATCGAAAATGGAAGAAAATAGAAAACGTAACCAGCGGAAGGCTCCACATAGGCTCGGCTAGCCGAAAACACAAAGGTTTATACAGATGTCTACAACGCAACGGTACCGTCAGAAGGTTCAAACTAAACGTATACGGTAAGCGAATAACCCAAAACGATTCTCCCAATAGAATAAATATCTAATATAATATAATATCTAATATAATAGAATAAAATCTTAATACACCTATTCAGTTTTACCTGTGCTGCGCGCGCATACTGTGGATAATTAAATTGACATCTAAACGAACAAACGAACGCACCTCAGGTACAATACGGTTCTAACAACCAGACAACGACAACTTAAGACATACTTCAGACGTCCGATTCAAATTAGTTTTTACTGCCCAAAAAGGGGATTAGGCTTAATAATAATACAGGTCAAGTCTATAGACCTATTCAGTTTACGAAAGAGAGTGATGGAGTTATTTGATCAACATAAGAGAATAAAAGAAGCAAATATGTTTCACGCGCAATTTGTGGAACCATGTAAAATCTGCGCAAACATAAGTGCAAGAGAGATGAGATATTTGGCCTATTTCATTGCTGATTGACAGACCCATTGAATGATTCTTAGATGAAAACTGTTTTAAATATAAAAAAGAAGAGACCATCTTCAATCTTAACCCTATTTTGTTTCTTGTTTCCGTTTGATGTTTGTTTATGTTCAATGTGTATTATTTTTTAACAGTATTTCTTTGTATTATTTAGTATATTAAGTTATAAAGGTTATAATTTTTTATATAGGTCAATGGGATTATTTCTTTGATAACAAAGTTGCTGCTACTTTTCGATAGATGTGGCGACGCCGCAGCATTGAAAATATTTTAAATCGATAGAGCAGGACCAATTACCTAAATAACCAAATTTTCACGACAATCGTACGCTCCGTTTTCCCTAAACGCCTAACCTGCCATCGACCGTGGTATACCCTGTATATTATAGCAAAAAGCATTTTGAGAAACTTTGTACTAACCCTCTTACTCTTTCTTAGAGTTGACCTGTATGTAAATATTAAGCCTAATCCCCTTTCTGGGCAGTAAAAACAAATTTGTCGCGTCCATTACAAATTAAATCCGACGGATTATTGGATAATGACAAATGACGTCTGAAGTATGTCTTAAGTTGTCGTTGTCTGATTGTCAGAACCGTATTGTACCTGAGGTGTGTTTGTTTGTTCGTTTAGATGTCAAGTTAATTGCCAACAGTATGCGCGCGCAGCACAGGTTCAACTGAACAGGTCTATTACAAATCTCAATTTACCCGTTTTCATTTCAACACCAGAACCGCTCTACACCGGTTCCCCGCCGACGGTGAGCCCTCTGCAAATCTCCAACATAACCGGCCCCATCAACATGGAGTTCACGATCCAATGCCGCGTCACCAGCGAAGTACCACCCACGATAATATGGTTCAAAAGTTGCTACGGGCAAAAGTGCGACTTTCGCTACCACCAAACCTGCTACTGTCACATCAACACCTCCATATCGAACCACAACACGGGCACCACCTACCTCAGCAAGTACCTGATATTCGACGCGCGAGACGTGGACGCCGGCACGTACGTTTGCTTGGCCGTGAACCAGTTCGGAAAGGACGATCGGAACGTGACGGTGGCGGTTCCGGCCAAGGCCGACCGGGACGTCTACTCGTTGCTGTTTCTGGTACCGTTCGGGTTGCTGCTGGTGCCGCTGGTCGCTTGGCTTTGCTACTTCGAGAAGCGGAAGAGATCGCCGGAGGTGGTGGTGGTGGTGGATCAGCAGAAGCGGCTGATCAGACCGGTCGGGCCTGTCAACGAAATCGTTTAGGTCGATTGTCTAAAGACGGGTTGATGTGTGGGTGGTGAACATAGACCTATTAACTATGGACGCGGTTTAGACAAAGAGGTAGTGTTGTCGAGGAATGAGAGAGATGCAGCTAGTTTGGGCATATGGCAATGAGAGATTGGACAATGCATTAGCCAATAGTAAGAAAGCAAAAGACCACGTGAGTTACGTTTTCAGATATGCAAGGTAGCTGGGTTAGAAGAGGGCAGCTTATGGTAGATAGGGTTGAGGAGTGCAGCGGAGGGTATTGTTATTTATTATTTTTTTGCCAAGCAAAATGCATTTTTCAGCTGAGCCTAAATTCCCACGCATTAGCAAATACAGTTCTTATTTTGTATTGTTAATTGGAACATCCTACCTATTAGCCAGTACAGATTTCGCAATTTAAGACCTAACTGCTTTCTCTTGTAAAAAATATGTTTCTTCCTGGTCATTCTTCTGTCCAAGTGGATACCAAGATAAAAACAATATTTAAATATTAAGCGTATTAATAATTTAACAGATTAATAGCCTTTATTCACGCACCCTGTATATATTTTATTTTTTTTTGGTCCCGCCTACTTTTAGCCCAAACTAGCTCCATCTCTCACGGACCTCTCTCTCTATCATTGGGAACGCTGAATAACCTCAAAATACCGATTGTGCCGCGTCCATACTTAATAGGTCTATGGTGGTGAACCACTTTCGTGGGTCACGCTTACGAATGAAGTCGTGAAATACGCTTGCTTGCAGCCGTTTCGTGAAGGCATCGCGTGGTGTTTACGCTGGGCACGGATTTTTCGTGCAAATTGCTTCGCCTTTTCTGAAAAACGGATCAGTCTTCAATATGGCTTCGTCGGTAGCAGAAGGTTGTGCGATGGTGTGCGAAATATTAGGACATTTTCTCGTATCCCAACTTACCAATCGTACCGGAGTGATTAAAAAAAACGGAGACATCGCAGGTGGTGGGTGCGAGAATGGATTCAAAAGAAAAACCACACTTTAATACTGAGTACACTGGAAATGGTTCGTGAAATATCAAACAGGTTTGATTTGAGAGCTCACGATCGTGGCGCCTTTCGTATCAATTCGTTTCCATTTTTCTTCCACGATTGTGTCGTTGACATGACGCGTGTTCCACGAAAGCGTGGAACACGAACGTGGTTCACTACCCGTGTCAACCCGCCTTAATGTTGGGTTTATATTTTAGACGGTATTTTAGAGGGTTTATACTTGTGTAAATACTCGATCGTGCCGGTGGAATCGGTGAGGTTGTAGCGTAAAATGTTGTGATATTTTAAAGCCTTCGGTTTGTTGTGAAACGTAAGTCAAATACCTCGAATCGATGTTTGCATCTTTTAGTAATCGGCGAAGGCGATTTTTTGTGAGTGGTACATTTCAATTCAATCGAAAATTAGCAAATTTATTGGTTAAATTTAGTGGCCCGTATTCAGCGCTGCGAGTTTAACTTTAACGCGGCTTTAGAGGTAAACAAAGTCCATGGTTACTCCATAACAACAATAGGTTTGTTCCTACAACCAGTGATGTTAAAATTACTTTATAATATGTAATTAATTACAATTACAATTACTTTTGGCAATTTGTAATTAATTGCAATTACAATTACAAAATTTACGAATGTAATTACAATTACAATTAAAGTTGCAATTACAATCACAATTACTTTGCTTTGGTGTCAGTTTTAAATAATTATTTATGGATTTGTAATCGAAATTAAACTTTCCACGTATTGAAAATATTAAATAAGTACTTTTGTGCCCAATGTAATTGAAATGTAATTGTAAAATGTAATTGTAATTGTAACGAAAGAAGTAATTGAATTACAAATGAATTACAATTGAGGAGCTTGTAATTAATTACCGTCTCAATTACAATAAAAGTAATTCAATTACTTTTTCAATTACTTGTAATTAATTACTTAACAACACTGCCTACAACAGTCAAAAATAGCCGGTGGTCGTCAGGAGTCTGCGCAGTAATAATTTAGGCGTTCCAACAAAATTCACAGACATTTCTGATTCTGACTTGGTTAACAATTTGTTGTTCCAACAGTTCAAGGGACTGGTTTTGTGATAGTCAGAAAAACTTGTTGATAGTACAGAGATTTAGAATCCGGCGCAAGCGCATTTTTAATTAGGGTTTAATTTGAAAAGGGTTTAATTATTAGGTTTTGTTGATTGTTGTTTTTGTTTGATATTTGGTTAATATGTAATAAATGTAAAGAATGTTCCATTAAGAAATCGGAAATTTGATTACACCATTCAATCATAAACCGCGCATGCGAAATAGAAGAGTCAGAAACTTATTGGTAACAAATCAGTAACTTTTTGTAGGAACAAACCTAATGTATAACTGTCAAGTTACGGCGATATTCACTAATGTCTGTTAAATCGCTAACAAAGAGACATGTTATTATCAATCTGTTAACGTCATATTTTGGCATTTACCAATGTCAGTTTAATACTTAACAGTCAGATAAAAGTAACGGAGCAACATCGAACTGATAAAAGAAGTAACAGACTGATAACTTCTATTCAAATATCGAAATTTTCAAAGTTTTTACGACTATTTAACAGTGACATTAACATTATAATTTTCTACCAAATGGAGCAGATAAATAGAATAAAGTGTCACGAATTGTTCAATTCATCTTACGAAGATAGTGATATAAAAATAGATATTAATTAGATATAAATGTTGCGAAATAGAATTTAAAAATAGGTTCAGATTGAAGAAAGATCCGATTAGATGGAATCCGAATAACCGATGGAATGCGGATATTATAGTTATTTACTTTTTCAAAAATACAAATTTGAAATTTATACTAATTTTTGGTTATATGAGTTTCGCATAAAGTTAGGAACAGGAACTAACTTAACTTAATCTTGATTATTAAAAAAAACTGTTTACTACCAGTTACTTCAGATTTCAGATATCGTGGTGAATAACAATATATATTGTTAACCAGAGACTGACACCCGTATTCAGAAGTTTTTTTTTATAAACAAATGATTTTGTAACCAACGATTTTCGAATTTTATACGTGACAAAGTTGCTGTCATTCTTCTACCATTTAAAAGGTTCCAGAATCATCTAGAACGCTCCAGACTCATTTAGAACAATTCCGAATCATTAGAACTGTCTAGAACAATTTAGATCTCTCCAGATTCATTTAGAATGCTCTAGACTCATTTAGATCACTTCAGAACAATTCAGAACTGTCTAGAACCGTTTATAACCATTTATATAATCGTTGGTTACAAAACCATTTGGTTATAAAATACTTCTGAATATGGGTGGTGACAGTTATCAGATTGATAAGTCGAAATTGATGAATATAGGCGATTTAGTGAGGCGTCTTTAACTTTGAAAATGAGGCGCTGAATACCGGCCAATATTTTGTGTAGATTAATCGATGAGTGAAATATGATAAACTGTGATAAATTTTGTAAATACATTATTTAAAAAAAATGTTCAAAATATTTATTAAACTAACAGAGAACAACAACGAAAAATGTAATTAAAAATTAGAAAACTTATTTGTTAACGTTGTTGAAATATTCCAAAGAACCCTTCGGGTCTGGTTTTATGGTTTTGCTGCCTTTCTTCCAATTAGCAGGACATACTGCAAAAAACCAAAGTAAATAAATAATTATTATTACTACTCGACTAGTAAGTATACAAAAACAAAGTAAATAATTATAGAGGGTGGCCCAGAACTCACGCCCCACCGCGGGAAATGTCTTATGGAAACGACAATGGAGATTCCAAAACTGCAGTCGAAGATGTAAAAAAGTTATTCCTTTGGTAAATAAAGAGGTTTAAAATCGACTAATCACAATACCCAGTAGGAGTTCAAATCCACGAAAATGACATGAATTATCTGTAGACCAATTTGACATTATTGAAAGATTATAGATTCTATGTCATTTTCACTTTCAATGTTAACAAAAGCTGCTATTGATCAAAGATTTGCTTTTAAATCGATCATTCAGAAGCTCTGTCGTGCTGATACCAAACCTACAGAATTTTTTATTGCTTTAAAAGTGGTCTAAATCGAATGATCCATTTTTTGATCGATTTTAAAGCAAATCTTTGATCAATAATTACAGCTGCTTTTGGCAACTTTTGTTAACCTTGAAAGTGAAAAGAACATAGAATCTTTTAATAATGTCAAATTGGTGTATAGCTAATTCACGTCATTTTCATGGATTTGAATTCCTACTGGGATTGGTCAATTTTAAACCTCTTTATTTACCAAAGGAGTAACTTTTTTCATATTTTCGACTGCAGTTTTGACATCTCCCTATACAGGGTGTTTCCTAAACATGCGGCAAAAATTCAGGTGGTTGTTCCTTGGACTATTCTAAGAATATTTTGTCCTTTGATGATTTTTGAAAAACCTCTTTGTTTCGAAGATACGGGGGAAACAAAATTTTAGATAATAACATTTTATTATGAAAAATTACATGAAAATTTAACTTAACCTACAAAAACTGTTGAAAATGACCACCTCTAGCCAGCATACAAGCATCCAATCTTCTCCTCATCCCCTTCGTTCTCCTCAGTTTAATCTGTATTCCTTTACCATCTGAACTTACAATTTTAAGTCAAAAAACTGGCCGTTTTTAGTAATTGGAATGTTGTTAAACAAATTTAAAAATAAATTGTACCTACTTAGTAAACACAGTGCGGTACGCATTTTTATTTAAACTATTATTAATTTTAAAAATATGAAAAATTTTGTTCGCCCTGTATCTTCGAAACAAAGAGATTTTCCAAAAATCATCAAAGGACAAAACATTCTTAAAATAGTCCAAGGAACAACCCCCTGAATTTTTGCCGCATGTTTAGGAAACACCCTGTATATTATTCGACAATAGTAAGTACCTTCTCCGTGTTCATCGACGAATGCAATGGCTTCTATGATTCTTATGGCTTCATCTACGGACCTTCCGATGGGCAAATCGTTTACAGTTATATGCCTGAGGATTCCATTAGGATCGATGATGAACATTCCTCTTAAAGCTATACCTTCGTTTTCCAACAATACATCGTATTTTCTAGCAATGTTTTTATTTATATCGGATAGTAGAGGGTATCGGATGTTCCCTAGACCTCCATCCTAAACAAAAAAAACATATTCAGTATCGACTGTACACCCTGGTTCATTTCAGTTTGCAATATGGTTATTTCTATGAGTTGGACAAAGCAAGGTTATTAAAATAACAGAGGGTTAGAGTGTAAAAGTTGCAATGACACAAATGTCACTTGCTTTTTTCTTTATTAGTGTCTAATGGAATTTGTCTTTATCGCACCCATAGCATATACCCTATGGTGCATTTCAAATTGCAATATGGTCATTTCAATGAGTTGAACAAAGAAAGATTATTAAAATAACAGTGGTTAGAGTGAGAAAGATGCAATGATACAATAAGCCGTATTTATAATAAGAAGCATTTTGCTTGAAAAGAAAAGGATTTGCTTTTAAAAATGGAATCTAGGTTCTTAGGAACTCTTCACAGTCTATTCAAAAGTTACTCTACATTGAATTGACAGGGGACATTTACGTTAGAACTGTCTAGAATCATTTAGTACGCTCCAGAATCATTTAGAAATGTTTATAATCATTTAGAACTGTCTAGATCAATCTATAACGCTCCAGAATCATTAGGAACTGTCTAGAATAATTTAATTTAAAACTTCTACACTAGTTTAATCCAGAACGCCCCAGAATCATTTAGAACGCTCCAGAATCATTTAGAAATGTCTATAATCATTTATAACTGTCGAGATCAATCTATAACGCTCCAGAATCATTAGGAACTGTCTAGAATAATTTAATTTAAAACTTCTACACTAGTTTAATCCAGAACGCCCCAGAATCATTTAGAAATGTCCAGAATCATTTAGAACGCTCCAGAATCATTTAGAAATGTCCAAAATCATTTAGAACGCTCCAGAATCATTTAGAAATGTCCAAAATCATTTAGAACGCTTCAGAATCATTTAGAACTGTCTAGAACCATTTAGGAAGCTCCAGAATCATTTAGAACTGTCTAGAATAATTTAATTTAAAACTTCTACACTAGTTTAATCCAGAACGCCCCAGAATCGTTTAGAACTGTTTAGAATCATTTAGGACGCTCCAGACTCTTTTAGAACTGTTTAGAACCATTTAGACTACTTTGACGAAATCGCTGTGTCTAATGGAAGTCTAATCGCCTTCATAGCCCATAACCAATATTGCAAAAAACTAAAATGACTCAACCTGTATATAAAAATATTAAAATATTAACTTTTCTACTCGAGTTGATCCAGCCTAAATGGGAAAAGTGCGAGTCGATCGAGCAGCCGATAACTTCGGCATTTAAACTGTGAAAATCATCAATCCTTTCATCTAAACTAATAAGTTCTGTGGGACACACGAAAGTGCTAAAACAATTTGCTATTTTGATTTAAATTGCTCAAATGTCCGGTTTCACCAACGATAAATAAATCTATAAATAGTTATTCGATGAATAGGTTTTAAACTCCAGTTAAATATTTTGACTTTTCTGCAACACTTTTAATCTTTAGTTAGCTATTTAATAGCTGAAACAAATATTTCTGGTAAAACAACCGTTAGAATTTAAATCCTCCCAAAAAAGAAGATTACGAACTGAATTGTTTAGGTTATTTTTTGGTTTATGTCACTGTGACGTGTGAATATTGTAATTTTATTATAAAAATATATTTGGAGTTTGAGAATACGTGATTTTGAAATGGATCGAAAAAGTGAAAGAAGCAAAAATTACTTGGAAGAGGAGAAGGAAAATTTAATAACGATCCTTCTTTCTAAAACAATTCGAGGTCGTCTATAATGAAAATATTCATCAGATGATGTTGAAAATTATGATGAAGATGATGCTAAAAATTTAATAGACAAATTTTGAAATACCTAACTTAAAAAGTACATAATATTTGTATTATCTTTTACCTGTTTTCCATTATTCTCAAACTAAACATACAACCAATAAATTAAAATAAAAATTCACAATCAGAAAAACACCTATTAGATATTACAAATTAATTATTTGAGATTAGAAAAAATCAAATAAAACTTTAACTGTCCAAATTTCGTTAGTTAATTTAAACTCCAATTTAATCATCGAATAATTTCCATTTGAAACTACTATTTGTCGTTGGTGAAACTGGACATAAAATTGTAATTATCGAACTTACAAATCCAAGGGGTAGAAAAACAACACGACGAATTTCCCTTTGTAATCGGCCAATTTGATTTGCTTGAAGTCTTTATTTACGACCGCAATTCCACCGAAGTCCGGAGCCGGTTCTTGTACTCTAGGTTTTAGTAAAGTGGTTGCTGTAATGTTATTATTTAATGGGTTGCAATGGTTTATTAGAATGATTTATACTTGTACTTACATAGTACGAAGTTTCTAAATGCGGTCGTATTTGTCGGTGCAGTTTTTAGTAAATTGGGTACCTTAAAAAGTGGATTGTGAATTATTGTGAGTGTATCGTCTTATTGTAATACTTACCCGATTAATGAACGTTCTGAATAATCCAGCCATTTTGATAGGTTTAATTGGTAAGTAATTGATTTAGGTTTATAAATATTAAAATTTATAAAATTTTGTAAGTTACGATGAAATATCAATTTTTTTCTTCTTCTTCTTCTTGTCTTATGAACTGTCACTGTCATAGTGGTGACTGGTTTTGTGAGCTATTCAGTTCAAATAGATATTGGTAGCTGAAAAGATTGAAGAATTAAGGCCAGTCTTGTGTTTGCATAGTAGACGAAATTTTTGGTTTGCTTTTTTTATTTTTATATGCTTATGCATTAGAGATTGTGTCCCGTTATTTGAGGACTTTTTGAGCTTCACTTGAGCACCGCACCGTGGTGAACGATCGGAGGATAGACTTATCTCAGCCAATCAGCGTCGCGCTACATATAAATCGCGGTTGTGAAACGTCAGTTGAAGCTGTCAAAACTTTAAAAATTGTTTTTGACATTTCGAGGAGAAAATTGAGAAATACCCAAAGATACGTGAGGCATGATGTTAACAACAAAATCATCGCTATTTAAGTATATTTTTATATTTTGTATCTATTTTTATTTTAAATAAAACTTTTTTTAATGCTAATTCTAAATTTATATCATCCTAAAAATATTGACAATGTTATATCGTTAGAAAGGCAATAAAATTTTCTACAAGATGGTGTACAAAAAAGTAGGTAGTTTCATTTAAAAAAATCAAGTTACCTTTAATTGAAATTTTGTAAATTTGCTTATCGATATCTAAGAACACAAACAGTATTCAATTATGAATCCATGTCACACAGTAGTACATTTCATGTTTACTAATAACCCAGAGTCACGACCTTCTAAGTTTTACAAAAGCGGCAATATTCATTTTTTTTCAAACCTCTACTTTTGTCGAAAATTTCGAATTGCCACTAAACGATTGGTTATAGGTACAATGTATGGTACATAAAGTCACACTAAAATTCACTAAAGAATTCAAAAATGTTATAATATACAGGGGGTTCCATTAAAAAAAAGGTAACTTTAGTGAATTTCTAATACTAAGCCACCCTGTATATAGACGAAACAATTTTAATAATATGCAGTATTATTGTACCTACCTTTAAAAAAAATCAAGTCGATATCTCAATTAGGTAAAAAGTTATGGGACTTTAACGCGACCCTGGGTCACCCTGTATATTTTTTAAGATGTTAAACATTTTTTTACAACTTTTTTTGTAACAACTGAATTTCCGGGCGCATGTTTATAAAAACTTTTTACACATTTTTTAATAAGAAATCACCTTCTAAAATCTCCATCTCCGTCTATTTTATGAACACCCCGCATTACTAGACACAAATAATTTAAAATTTAACAATCAACCCTCGAAATTGAAGATCAGAAACCTCGTTGAAGAAAATTATAATTTATCTTCTGTAGATACTTACGTATAATAATATTCCAGCACATGCCCGGCGCCCGTGCCTTTCGAAGCACTGGAAGAAATATTCGAGCGGGAGACAGAGGCGAGAAAATATAAGAGGTAAGAAAAAGTTATTAACGTTAAAACGGCCGTTGAAAAGTGAACCGGCGAACAAAATGGCGATGGAGTTTATTCCGGCGTCCCGGGGGGCGCATTCGCGTCGCGAAATAGAAATGCATTTTCCTTATATAGTGTTTTTTATTATACGTCTATCGCTCGGATGCGGAAATACCGACAATCTCGGATATCGTTGGCATGGGGTTTTTGCTTTTTCTCCTATGTGTATATATATATTGCTTGAGTGAACTGTCGCTCGACGACGAATACCCTCGTAAATTTAAATGTAATGGGAAAATGGGATATCTTCGCAAAAGAATGTCTATAGATATTCCTATTGTTTTTTCTTAAATGGAATATGGAAGTTTTTTATCTACCAAATTAACGCCAAAATTAATTTAAACTTGGAATGCATCGTTACCAAAAGTTGACTTACCTATATACCTAATTGTAATTACCTAAAATTCTAACATTTTCACGACTGTGAAAAAATTGGATGGGATTTGACCAAGAAACAAACGGAAATATTAATTTATTATAGTGAAGAAAAAGCACTTGCCCGACATTTTAAAAATAGACACACAAATTAGATTAAGCTTAATACCGGCAGAATTTAATTTAATATTAACAAGGGATGATAGAAAATGTTAAAAAGCAGAATTAAATAATCCAAAAAAAAATACATATTCGGGTCGATTCTGTTTGTAAATAGCAATATGGTTATTGGTTATTATGCAAAGATATTGTTATCATAGCAATGTCCTAAGAAATAACCTATTCTGTTCGTGTAATTTGAACAATATGATCTGTCATTAGTAAAGATATCTTCTTATAAACCTTGCTATTTGAACAATGTCATTTTTGTAGTTGCTATTTGATAGCAATACGGCTAATCCGATCTTTTTTCATTACTAAATGAGCTAAGAGTTTACATTTTTTGTAAATACGAGATACAAGTAACCCCTTTGATTTGCTAAATGCAAAATTTATAAAACTTAAATAAGGCTAGAGCTTTAAATTTAATTCAACAGTTGTTAGAAGTTCTAGAAGAACCATTTCGAAGAGATACAACACCTTTTCATCTACAAGTTGCGCTAGTTCAGAAATGTATGATAAAAATAATTACTCATATTTTTTTAGGTTTTTTAAATATTTTTTAATTTTTTTAACTATTATTATTACAATTATTTCCATTTGTTCCTTGATTGTTTTCTTTGTTAGTCCTTTCATCATTTTATAAAAACGGTCTCCGCTTCCACCGCAGAAACACATGAAAAACTGCCTTCAATGGCGTCAATTGTAATGGTAAAATAATAAATTTTAGGGAGGATTCTTCTTTTTTCAGTTATATTCAGATAATTAAAGTGTTGTCAGCTTTATTTTTCACTAATAACAGCATATTTTTAGCAATATGGTTAAGCGTTAAAAATATAACCAACATTGCTAAACTAATCGAAACCGAATAAGAAAATGTTTGGCAATATTGTTATAACTTAAACATATAACAACATGGTTATCATAGCAAGATTCATAACAAGATCCAAACAGAATCGACCTGATTGTCAAAATTCAACGTTAAATATACCATATTCCATCTCGTTAGGCAATGACGTCACGAGCCAGCCTGTTGCAACGTTGCCGGGTTGTAATTGAAATCCTTTATATGACAGATATATTTTATTTTAGGTTATGTTTACTTTCATTGTTTACAAATTACACCGAGAAAAGTCAGTTAAAAGATTGTCATTTCAAAAAAAAAATAATATAACTCTAAAAAATGTTATTTTAGCTTTTAATTTTTTTCTTGTAAGTATGAAAAAAAAATGTCAGGGTAAAAAAGCTTGTTAATTTAACATTAACAAGGGATGATATAAAATGTTAAAAAGCAGAATTAAATCAAAAAAATGTATATTATCCGTATGCCTATTAACTAATAATCAAAATTCAACGTTTGTATATAAAATTATTATTATTTTCTTATAGTAGGTTGGTATGCACTGACTGTCAAGTTGCATTGTTGCCGTTGTCATCCGATCGATATTTTTATTTTTCAATTTCTTCTTCTTTTTTTCTAGTTTACTAGCCTCAACTACTAAAGGCTATTCAGCCGAATTATCAAGAAATAAGAATTTTTTGCTTAGTTATCATTTCCACATGTTAGAAATGACACAATTTGAGCTCTAAATAATTTAGATTTAAAAATTTTCTCAGAAATTTTACTATGTTCTCTTTTAAGGGTCAATTGTACACTAAATTTTCTACTTGCACTGTTAAATATATTTCATATGATAAAGAAATTTGATGTTTAATTATAGTAAGCCCCTGAATATGCCCGCCGTTTAAAAACGTGTGAAATAGGTACCCCTAATTTTCAATTTGTTCTTACCATTTTCGCATTTGACAATTTTAGAAAATTCTTAGATTTTGTAAACTCTATAAAAATTCGGCAACACTGCCTACTTGTGACGTAGTAAATTATTAGAGGTGACGTGCATTGATATTTGTTCTGCAGCATCTACTGTACACTTTCGCTACTCTTTTAATATATTTAATTTAGACACTCTGTATATTTACCGCAATTACATTACTCCACTAATCCCACCTACATATTCGTTAATAATATAAATTATTAACTACAAATGTACGAGTAAATATGTTACAAATTGTTCAAATTTATTGGTTATTGGCAGTGATGTTAAAATTACTTTATAATATGTAATTAATTACAATTACAATTACTTTTGGCAAACTGTAATTAATTGCAGTTACAATTACAAACTTTGCGAATGTAATTACAATTACAATTAAAGTTACAATTACAATCACAATTACTTTGCTTTGGTGGCATTTTAAATAATTATTTAGGTACATATTCCTAAAAACCTCATTAACCTTTTCATGGAAACAAGATATTAATAGAAGATATAATTCTTATAGAATATGCTTTAAACTTTAATCCAATCAGTTATATACCCCGACTGCCTGGCTAAGGATTTGCAATCGGAATTAAACTTTCCACGTATTGAAAATATTAAATAAGTACTTTTTTGTCCAATGTAATTGAAATGTAATTGTAAAATGTAATTATAATTGTAACGAACGGAGTAATTGAATTACAAATGAATTACAATTGAGGAGCTTGTAATTATAATTACCGCCTCAATTACACTAAAAGTAATTCAATTACTTTTTTAATTACTTATAATTAATTACTTAACAACACTGGTTATTGGTTATTGATGGTTAAATAGATTCGATAGGCAATTTAATGCTAAAATGACTGTTCTCAATAATATTTTTCTAATGCGTTTGTAATAACGGAGAGCGGTCGGTCCTGCGGGTATAAATCTGATGCAGGACTTGCAGGAGCAGGAGAGGGCGCTCGTCCGTCGGGGTTTTTAATAGAGGAAAGCGCAGATTAATCTGTCGGGCCTTTAGTGATCTTTCTTTTTAGAGTGCCTCGCTCGTATCTATTATGGATGACTTTCGTTGACGCGGTCCGTCG